TTTCAGTCGGCACAATTTATAACGGGGATTTCGCCATTTAATTCCTAAAATTTAGGCTTTTTTTTCATCATCATCTTTAGTATATGCAAATATTTTTGCTCCCACATATATATGTATATATCTGCTTTCGTTCAGGCGCGATACATAAACAGCTGCTCACCAGACAAAGAAGTTTATTGAATTTTTCAATTCCTTTCGATCACACATTGTTTCTTCCTTTAAACTAAATGTAAATCTGTGAGTAGATTTCAGTTTTAATCGTTACAGTTACAAAAAATACCAATTGCGATAAATAATTCCACAGGTCTTAATCGTATACATTCAAGAATTATTTCGATCCTACGACACGTCCAAATTATTTTTTTTTAAATCATTTGCTTTTGTTGGCCGATCAATTTGTTTGTATTTTAATATTTTTAATTGGTATTAAATTAAAAATTAAAAACTTCTCTTTCTACCTTAAAATTTATCAATTTCATTATTATCATTATTAATTATTACTATTTTTATTACTGTTATTATTGTTATTACCACTGTTTTAATTAGTATTTAATTTTCTTTATTAAAAGACATTTTTTTCTAAATTGTAAAATCCCATCTTTCAATAGCTTTTATTATAATAGCAGTGTTAATGCGATTTCTTAAATTTCTACTTTCAATCCGCTAATTTTGGAAAAGTAGTTTTCAACTTTGCAAGAAATTTGGTTCCACTATTGGTTTCGATCCACTTTTACTTTTTTCAAATCCTTCATTTTCTTATATTCTTATATTTTCTTATATTCTTTATCTGTTGAAATTTCTGAAAAAAAGAATCAAAATTTTTTTTAGTGATTATTATCAATGTCGATAAAATATTTGTTTTCGCATTGATCGTCAACAGTTTTAACGAATTTCTTTATTGCCACTTTAATTTATAAATGACCTTTATTTCAGAAAAAAATCATCTCAGTTTGATGAAAGAGAACTAAATTAAATTGAATTATACTTTTTTTGAAGAGGTTTTCATTCTTTTTTCGTATTTTTCGACAATTTTATTCGTTATTAAAGCAACTTTTATTATCATCAATTAGAAAATAGAGGTTAAAATAACAGAGAACAATGAATTGTAGGCCAAAAATTGAAAATTGAAAAAAAAAATTGAAGACTTTAAAATTTCCTCGGAGTTATAGATTTAATGAGATATTACTTGAATATTTCCCTTAGCAATTCTAGGAGACAAGCTTTCTATTTTTCACTATCCATTAAAACTCGGTATCTATCTCTCCTTTCTTCCTTGTAGTTAAACAAGTGCTGTTGACCTTTCCCTCCAAGAATGAACTGATTATCCATTTATGCTTTTCTATTTTCAAATGTTAAATTTCAAATTTTATCCTTTCATATTTTTTAAACATTGAGAAATTTAGCGTAACAACTCGCTTTCGAAATTAACCCAAAAAAAAGCATTTATTAAAACAAAACGAAAATAAACTGCGAGATCATGTGGAGATAAAGGTTTACATTTATCACGAAAGATATAATCCGCGGTATAAAAGATATATATCAGGAAAAACATGAGTAAATATGCAAAACTAGGAAAGCATGTTATCAAAAGGAATACGAGGAAAGGAAAAGCTTGTTGAAGACTGGTAATTATGTCCTAATTGCCAAATCGGTGCCAAAATTAGTGGCTGTTTGGTCAGTCACAAGGCATTAGCCATTCGAAATGATTATATTGTTTGAACCATTATTTACAAAGTTTACTGAAAAAGCGGAAGATGATGTAGGAACCTAAAAGGTTGTCTACAGAAGGATAAATAAATTTTCGCGATGGACAAGAAGTAAGCTAGAGAAACTAATGACCTCATAATTATTCAATAATGACCATATATATAATTGAAATGGTGCAAAAGAGCGGTCGATTACTTAAAACGGTCACTAATTATCATCGCACCAATGAATCTTTCTAACATATTGTATTAATGAAATCTATTTTGTGCGCAAATTTTGTCAAGCACTTTTCATTATTCATTGCACTTCATTGAAAAGCCTCTTTTATGAATGGTATCCATGACCAATTTCTATTCCCTTGCTAGCATAGTAAAGTAAAATAAATGGTTAACAATCATTATTTCTGACTTGGCCACTAGTTAATAGGATAGCAGAGTTTTTGCCAAGGAGTTAGTTGATGATGGAAATAAAAATGGATCCTCAGCACCACTTACAGTGGTAAGTTTTTAATAATAAGTTGACCTTGTCGGGCACAAGATCTAAACCTCTGGTATCCGAGATGTTAATCTGCATAGCCACTCGGCTACTATCCTCGCCTCTCCAAATTACTTCAGATTATTGCCAGCTGCTTAATAAACACTTATTTCAGAAATTTCAGAAACTTCGATCTATAGCGAATATTTATAATATTAAAGTCGATAATACTTTTTCTCATTGCAAAACTTGCTCCATATAAATCTCTTCAAAAGCATTTACCATTTCTAGTTTGAACAAATGAACAAATGAAACCATTTTGCCGGAGTCGTTTTGACGATAAAAGTGCAAAAGGATTCTCAGCATCTTGTGGACTTTACATTTAATAATGAAACTTGATTAAGGAAGAAAAATTGAATCCCATTAACTTATGGATCTACCACACTGTACGATTCAGTTATAACTGGTGCAAATATAATCTGAATTTTTAATTTTTCTGTTCTGTTCTTCCTGGATATCTTCGAACACATCTTGAGATTTTTTCTCAAACAACGATACCTAACAATATTATTCCTTTTCTTTTTTCAGTGGAGTGTTATCAATCACTGATATGGAACATCGTACCCTTCGACAAACAGATGAAAATAATCCAAAATCAGTAAAGAGCCTGACTATGCATTTCCAGAACTTGAAAGATTTGAACGCCTCTCACCATCTCACTTCTCCACCAATGGAAAGTATGTTTTATTTCATCAGTTGCTTTTGCCTTATCTTATTGACATAAACGAGCAGTGTTTCTATAATCTCTTTTCGCATCAGTTAAGACCTATTTTTTTTCGTGGAGTAGCTTTCATGCCAGAATAATTTTATTTATTGAAATTGAAATAATCTTCTATATTTGAATAACCTTTAAAAAATCTTAATAATATTTTGTGAAACTTAAAATTCATATTATTTAATTGTATTATTTATTCCAGATGATGATAAATCACATGGTAATCTTCCGCCACCAGCTAGGATTACTCCATACTCTGGAATTAAGCCACAGGTAAATGCAATGCTCGAACTAAAATAATTCTTACGTTGCTAACGTTTTTTCATCTGTTTTATAGCTCAGACAATACTTTCTTTACTAAATAACTGGCTAATGTTCACCATTTCTGGTTAGACTCGCTTCGTTGATTGTTAGTTGATTTGTTGATTGATTGTTAGTTACGATTTTAAATTTTTGCAAAGGAAGCAGTTGGCGATGGAAAAGCAGATGGATCGCCAGTATAATTCAGAATTTTCAACGATAAGTTTATTCCTGTTGGAGATCACGAGACGAACTCTACCGTATCTCAGTACTGTAATCTAAATCGACATCCACTCGGCTATTTCCCCTCTCCCCCAGTATTTTCTTAAATCACATGGCAATTTTTTAAACATTTGAATGTTTGAAATTCAGCAGAGCAGAGCAGAGTAACTCAGCTCAGTTCAAGCTTTAAGGCAACAGTAATCGTGATGTCCATTCATTATTATAAAAAATTATCTTCTTAGATTATGTAATAAAAGAGGTGCCTATATTTCTTATTTTTTTACTAAAAAAATTCTACGAAAATTCAGTTATAAATTAAATTCAGTTATAATTTTCCTTCATTAACCAAGTCTTTGTGAAAAGTAAGGTCACAAGATGCTGAGAACTTTTTTGCACTTGTCTTTAAGTTTTTTTTACATTATTCAATTATTCTCGTCTTTCCCTTGATTCACTTTTTGTTCGATTTTCTAGTTTTTTCATTATTCCGATCCGAAATTTGCTTATAGATATATATATCTATATTTTAACCGGTAGACGGGTATTTTAACTGATAGATTATCAGCGATTCATATCAATAGAGTGTCCTTGAGAATCATCGATATTTTATCAAAATATTTATTCTCATATGATTTTTTCTATATATTTTTCAATTTTTCTTCTTCTTATAAGGAGAAATATAGATAAAAGTTGCTTAAAATCAATCTCAAAATTGTTTTTTTAATGGCAATTTAGGCAAAAATTTTCATTTCTTACAAGTAATTATGGCGGCTAACTTTACTCGGAACCGTTAATTTTTAGATTGTTTATGAATTTATGACATCACAAAGCAAATTTTGGCAATTACCTGGTTTAGATATATACCTTTTTTCCCTTTCATCGCGGAATTTTGAACAAATTTTTTGATGATAATAAGTAAGATTGCTTGGGACAAAATCTATGTTAATAATTAAAGTACCAATGAAAAAAATTTTTGCCTTGAAGGATTCCGCCATCATACATCCAATCGCATTTCGGCCATTTATTTCGAACAAAAATGATTCAAGACAATCGCTTACTTCAATTATTTCTCATAATACTAAATCTAATTCGGACTCTTCCATTAAAAGGTATTCCAGGTAAAAAGTTAATAGAGAATTAGATACTTTTATACCAAAATTTTTAAGAATAGAATGATATTTTTTGTATTTCTCGTTTTGATTTCTTTGATATGTAATCAAAAAACCATTTTTCCTAACGATATTTCCTAACGATTCTCAATTAAAATTGCTAGAAGATATTGGCAAAATTCCAGTCACGATGGATACAGTCGATCAGTTCTGAACAATGATAATAAATCATATCTTGGAAGTATTCGCCCAAAGGGCGTTTATCAACCATCGACTAGGTTTTTTTCAACTCCTCGAACAAAGTTAGCGAAACGAAGAAAACGAGGGAGAGTGGGTGGGGGGACAGGAGAAGTGTGCTTGAAGGGTTTGCTCATTATTCGGAAGCAGTTTTTTCGAAATTATTGCAGTCACTCAACTTATTAAGTAATTATTTACATAAGATAAAATCAATATCCTGCTTATTATTTGCAGTTGCGGGATATTTCCAATGCAGAGCTTAGAAAAAAAGACCAGAAGAAGTGAAAATGAAGAAAGCGATTACGATATCGTTCCTGAATACCTCGAACAAGGTTCAGATCCTATATTTTCCTTTATTTTCATTTTCATTCTTAAAAAATTACAAAAAGGAATTTCTCTCTTGGAGGAAAAAATTAAAATTATTGGGGTTTCTTGACATGGTGAAGAAAAACTAAATATTTGGTTAAAAAATAGATGAAAAATAGATATGATAATAAATGATAAGAACAACCGTGAAATCATCGTTGTGACAAATTTATGGTTCGATTTTATTTTTTCCATAACTTTCGATTATTTTCAGAATCCTTAGATATTGAAACTTGTGCTGCTGCCCATCGTCAAAACATATTTCAGTGCAACTCTTCTTTATCATGCCAAGGTTCTACGGTGTTTGGGACTCATTCTAGCGTTGCTCAGCAAAATTCGTCAAAAGTACTTATCTTTAATATCGCCACAACCGCTATAATTTTCTAATTTTTAACTTTTTAACTTAATAGAGATTCCATTGTTTTTATAGCCATAATTTAGATTAGGGTTCCTTACCTAAAGCTCAAAAGATAAAATCATTTATTGATTTTATTTTTGGTAAAATTGTTGTTCCTTAAAATAATATTCTTTCAAAAAAATTTAAACTGAAATATTTGAAAATAAATAATAACGATATTTATAATAATGATATTTTTGAAATCACCGTCATCGCAACAAATTTGCGGTTCAAATGGTTCCAATGGCAGTCATCAAAGTTCTGGTATCCATGTTACTCCATCTCCCAGCGATTCTGGTATCGTCGACTACGAAGTAAAATTGAATATAAATGCTCAATAGGATCAATCTATTACAAAATTATTTTATTATTTTACTAATTGAAACTATTATAACTGCAATATTTTTTTCTTCAAATTGTAGACAATAATTCGAGACAAAGAAAATGAATTAACAAATGTGAGAACGACAATGGAACACAATGAAGAAATTGTTATTAGGGTTTATCAAGAGAAAGAACGATTGTGGCGAGAAAAAATGACGGAATTGAAACATAAATTAAAAGTATCCTTACTTACTATAAAGATGAAAATCCGAGTCCATATAGCTGCAATTCGTTCGATCTTGCTATATGGCTACGAAACATGGCCAACGAGAGTGGAAGATATTAAGAAGCTATCAGTCTTTGACCATTCATGTCTAAGATATATGTCTAAGATATATATATTTTACTGATCCGTCGAGCTGATAAAATCGCACATGATTGTATCCATTTTCTCTCAACTACCACCTGTATTAATAAACCACAGGAGTTGACGCATATTTCATTAAACACTGTGATGATTGGCAAGCGAGGAGGACCAGTCAAGATCTGGACTACAATCAGGAAAGATTTTGAACGTATAAGGAGACCAGCGATGTATGGACTTAGACGATGGAAAAAGGACTGGCTTCTATTACTACTAGCAATGGCGTCGAATCGAGCAGCTTCGTCTTACCCTTTTAGCCAGCGGAGCCAGCCTAACCAGTAATGGTGAGAGCTGATAGAAAAAGAAGTATCCTCACTACGTCATTACTACTTCATTTTCCAAACTATTTCGATACTTCTAATTTTATAAAAATAAAATTTATAGGCAAGCCAACAGGGTGAAAATGCTCTTCGACAGCAGATTCAGCGATGTAATGAACAGCGCGATCAATTTCAGACAACTATACAGAACTTGATGAGTGACAAACAAGGTCTGCAAAGAAAGGTATAATAATACCATGCAAATATTTTCCGTTTTCAAAAGTCATTTCCATATTATTTTTAACTGACGCCAATGAATGAAAAATGGATTACGAGATCATAGATTCGACTCCTCTCCTTTGAAAGTAGTGGACCTGTTGTTCATATTCGAGACGAAATTCGAGAAATACGGGATCCTACTTGTTTCATCGCCTTTACCGATTATTTTGGGACTAATCTGAATAGATCCTATCGAATTTTATTTACAAATTTTTTTGTGGACTGCAGTGCTTGCAAATTGAGCGAGAATTGTTTCAACTTCGTGAAAAATTCGATGAGATTTTGCGAAATCGTGAGATTGACTGCGAACAATGTCGAAAAGGTTCATTAGATGGACGTTTTAAACCACCTATACCTGCACCTCGTATGATTAAGGTAGTTTTTATGTTTTGGAGGGCTTTGGACCAATCTAATTTTTGTAAATTCCTTGATTTTAGTTTTTTCCTGAAATAGTTTTGTTGTGTAAAATTAAATGAAGTTCTCAACATATGTTAAATAATTTTTTGCTAATTGAGGTCAAAAATGAATGACTATGTGAATTTTGTGGTATCTTAAATCTTTCTATTAGAAGATAGGACTTAAAGGTTAAAGGTAACTTGAAATCAATTCACTGAAAATAAAATATAATATTCTTAAGGATTCATCCGCTGATCGTGAACTTCGTGTAGAAGTGGAACAATTAAAAGGCGAAATATTCACACTAAAGGAATCCTTAAATGAACAACTGAACTTATTTGCAAATGAGAGGAAATATTGGGCAGAAGAAAGAGCTAAGGTAAATTGATGAATAAATTCTTGTACTTAGATGTACAAACTTAGATGAAGTAAATAGAGAATACGAAAATCCAAAAATTTTTGTATATTTGATGCATAACGGAAAAAATATTTGCCAAATTTATTATTTTATTCAAATAAAATGTACTGCAACATTATGCACTTATAAGTCAGATCAGAAATCTGAAATTCGCAAAACTTGCAATTAGATGAACGGTTATCGACAAATCTCCTCATCGAATATTTCGTTCATTATTCATGGATTATGAATAAAAGATCAGTGGAAGTTATTTCTAGATTCTTTCTTCGGCACGAATTTCGATGGTAAATCCGAATGGCCAAGTAGAGAATCGATTTCCTATCGAAGCGAATCAGTGCGTTGTTAGTAATGATCGCCTCATATAAATAATATGTTGCATTCATGGTGCTTCTCGTTTTCTGCGAAAAATGACGCAGTTTCCTTCAGTTTTCTTTAATTTCAGTTAATTTTATTAAATTCGATTCAGCAAAATAAATATCTTAATTTAAACTCTTCATCTACTGGTCGGCTGAAGGCTGATTTCCGATTTGACATTTTAGAATAATTTTTTTTTATTTGAATTCAAAACATTTTGATTGTGGTACTAAACATTTTTTTAATATTTCACTGTTTGGTACCATTTAACATAAAAGTAGAATTCTAAATTTATTTCATTTATTTTATTTATTAAATTCATTTATTTCACTTTTTTATAAGCGTTTTTTATAACTGTTGCTCATATTTGTTGAAAATTTTGTAAAATATTAGGTTATATATTTTTTAAATTTTTGATTAATCTTAGTGAGAAAAAAGGATTTTTTCATCGGTGATTTCGAAAAAAATATTTGCTTGATAGAATTTTGACAGAATATTTTATCACATAGTCAACATGATTTTATAGAATATGTGAAAGCATTTTGAAATTTTGTTTGTATGGTGGTTCTTATATCGACAAATAGTTTATTAAAATTGAATATTGGCATCACAAATCTTATTTGGTTAAAAATTTTTTTCAAGAGCGCTCACCATGGCGATAGAAGCACAAGCGGGTCGTTAGCACCATCCTGGTTTTTGAAAGGTTTACTCCAGATGGAATTAGAATTTCAGCATCGACATTTCAAAATAAGAAAAAAATAAGGGCAAAAATCCATTATGCCATTCCACATCTATTTAAAATGATTAGCATACTTTAATTAACGATAGGCTTGCCCTGTCAAGAGCAGAAGCCAAAGCCTTGATTTTCAATGAATCTACGTGAAAATGCACTGTCATTTCAGATAACTTTGCAACAAGTTTAATGGAATAAGCGTTTTAATCGCTGAACTGACTCTTTTCTTGGTTCTGAATTAAATTATTTGGCATAACAGTAGAACAGGATTTCAGTTCCATGTTCCAGTTCCATGACTAATTAATATTTCATTAGATTAATTTATTAGATTAATTGCACCGCATACATAAGCTTTGAAACCGAATTATGATAATTCCATGATAGTCTATATATATATATATATATGAATTATTTCAAGATTCGTCTGCGTTGAATAATTCGAAGCTATTCTATCCTTAATTTATAAAGGAATAATGTAATTTCAAATTTCTTCTGTCGTACGTACCTGTCTTGCACTTATTTTGGTTGATATTGTTCAGTGAATTTCCGTTAAATTAATATTTTCTATTAAAAATTATCATCATTGATAGCGCTGCAAAAAACTTTCATTATGTTGCCTTTCCTGATAAAAAGTTATTTTCTAGATATTTAAGTAGTTATTTTCTAGATATTTTCTAGATATTTTCTAGATATTAAGAATGAAAGGTGAAAGAAAGAAAAGCTATCAGCTGAATGCAAAATATTTAAAATATGGCCATAATATCAGGTTACATAAAGAAAATAACTTTAATTTTGGTCTAAATAGTTGCAATAATTGAGTTGTAATAATTGGAAAGTAAAAGAAGTTTCCAAGATTCTATAAATTTGGAAAAAAAGCTTTGCATTTTAATTTTGCAAAATTAGAAAAACTTATTGAAAATAAATTTGATAAGATATGAATTATCAAACAATATTTCTATAAATCTTCAATGCAAATTAATTAATTATTCGTTATTCGTTATTCTTTAATTTAGTAACATAACATCAAAACTCAAACCCATCTGTTAGCGATTCCAAGATGTCCATCATTTGTGTGCAAATAAGATAGTTTCGGCAGATGATCAAATGAGAATACCAGTGCCTGAGGTTCATAGGATTTCATCGCCTTTACTCTTGCCATTCAAAGGTGCGATTCAAACCAAGAAGGGATTGGGCTCTTTAGTTCAAGGATGTATATAATTTCGAGTTTTAAAGGCGCAAAATATAGTGCAATATTATATAAATTATTCTATTCTTTCGAATTTTTTTTGTCATGAAATACAATCCTTTTTTTAGAATATATTGATAATTTAATGTTTACCTCTTCTAACGGTGAACCATCTTTGGTTTCAGTGGTTGCCAAAATTAAACATCCAAGCCAGCGATTCACTCGAGATGAATTCAACTATAATGGATTCAATTTATAATTCTTAGAGTCAATCTCTATTGCTGGCAGGAATTCATCTGGAGCTCTTTTATTCCCAATTGGTTCTTTACCGGAACGCTTTTATTATAGCAAAACAACCAAAACAGAAACATTAAGTGTTAAAAGAAAAAGAAAAATGGTAGTCGGTTAGACATTAGAGATGATTTGTAAAAATACGGAATAACTTTTTTTCTAATCATTATCAATTGGACCAATTATCAGATCATTCAATTGTGATCGAACTTTGAATTTCCTCTTACTTTTATTATTATGATGACAATTTAATAAAAATTCATTTAATTGTTTAAATAATTCAAATGAAGGTTTTTCGACCGTAAATTTTTGAATTTCTCATATCATTTATCACCCATTTCCTTCATTGATGACAAAAGCAATTTAAACGCTCAATAAAAATATTTTTTTGCAGAAAATCTTGTTCGAAGCAATTTTTAATGCAAAAAAATAGCAAAAAAAGGAGGAAAAAACCAAAAACTAAACTTATAAAAGAATTTTAAATTTTAGCACAAATAAAAACCTCTGAAATTCATTGAAACAAGTTCAGTTTTTCAAATTCGAATGCTATGCAGTATTTCATTGTTTTTATTTGCATTAATCGTGCTATTTTCATCCGTCTTTTTTTGATTCGTCGTTATGCAGTTAATCAGTTATGTTACTTCTGCTAAGGGCAAATGACATGGATCTGATTCTTAAGCAGAAACAAAATAGCGAAATGTTGTAAAAATAGTGAAATAGAAGTGTTAAAAAAAGAAAGAAGAATCAATGAAAATAAAATCTGATAAACCTGTAAAATCTTTCGGAACTTCTAACACAAATTCAACTTTTAATGGAGTGAAAGAAGGCACACGCAGAAACTACCGATCGTTGCGAAATTGTGAAAAGTCTGCAATAGACTGCAGCATAAATAAAATAGCTAAGGTTATATGCAGTCAGAATAGAAAAAAATTTCTTAAATTCAACAAATAGATTTTAGAAAAGCAAATTAACCAAACAAGTTCGACGATATTCATTATCCTTGATAAAAATTCTCAAAGCTTTTTCGGAGGATTCTTTTTCTGCTACGTTAATTTTAGTCATTATGCATGATGCATTGTCCATATCCATGATACAAGAAAATTCACAAAATATTACCAATGCCACGAAAAAAATGAATTAATATTCGTATAGCGAAGAAGAAAATCCCACAGCCATCGAAATAAATCATGAAATAAAGCAAAGCAAATAGAATGCTCTAAAAATAAAAAAAAGTATTACACTTGTTGTCTATGGTTTAAATTTTTCTCATTCTTCCGACTGCATCGCTTATTACGATGAAATACAGTTCGCTTGGTAATAGAATTAAAGGCTTCGACAGCAACGAGAGTCCATTTTTAATGATATTATCATCAAGAAGAAAAGATCGAATGTATGATGCTTTTGTATTTTCCTATATCGTGGCAAACTACAATTCCTCAAAAATTCTAATTAAACTCCAAAGCAATTTAATATTTATGGATTAAATGATATCGATAGGATTCACCATAAATAGAAAATGAAAATTTTTTCCAAATATTAAGTTTTATTCGAAATTGTTTTATGAAAATATTAAAATATTTAACTTTTCTCCACGATGGAGTTTGAATTTTGCTTTTATTTTAATGCCGAAAACATCAATTATTTATCAAATGAATATTTTATTTATATTCTTTAGTTGATTTCACTGCGATTTTCTCAATAAATCTCGAACAGATTATTTAAATGCAATTTTCGCTTTTAAAAATTATATGCATAAAAATGTGCGGCAAATTTACGTTTGGAGAAGATTTACTTTGAGCATGACTGGCAAAATCTTGGACAATGTCGTTGATTATCAATATGCGTGGTATTGATAATATTGGATAATATAAACAAATCTAGATTTTATGGTTTGATTATTTCGATTAAATTATAATCTATTCTGAATAATCATTAAATTATAATAAAATGATTATTAACATAGCAGTTCTCTTGAAAATTAAATTCTTTGCCGAATGGTTCCAAAAATCCAAAAGGATATAATAGAATAAAGAAAAGTTTTTTGAAGAAATGATTAAGTTGAAAAAAAATTTTCAGAAAAAAAATGAATATTAAATGCGAAATAATTTAAAGAAACTGGTCATGGGAATCATTATATTACCTTCAAATTTTTTATACTTATTTGCAAGAAAACGAGAAATCAAGTCAGTAAAAATCAAGCACTCTCTCAAACATCGAAGAAATCCGATGATCGATCGTGAAAAGGCATAGTATATTCAAGATTGACGGCGTCAAAAAAGTTGAACGTTGCATCTTGAATGACAGCAAATGCTGGTTTCGGCACAAATTGATACAATGGAGCTTGAATTGTATAGCGTATTGTGTTCATAAAATGCTTCATGCCCCCACGCCTACAGCCAAGGCAATATAATGGCAAATTTTGTCAAATCCGTTGCATTCTTCGTCGTATCGAATGGCGTTCGTTTCCTTCATTTGAGACTTTTATCGCTCTTATAAGCAATAGTAACTTTAACCGCAATTAATATTCGGTCATTTCTATATTTCTATGTTGTTTCAATATACAAAATTTTAGCAAAATTTCCTATTCTCCTCCTTTCACTTTTCTTTATGCCAACTCGTTTCCTTTCTCCTTTCACCTCCCTGCATCAGTCAATTCATAGTAATGAAATGGCTAATTTGACATTAAATATTCTTCTAATATTCGTCAAAAATTCATTTGGAGCCACCTAGTTTTAATTTTAATGAGAAGATTTATTTTAATCGAGTGCAGAGATAATACCTTGATTTTTGTCTTTATTTCTTGCTTGAACTAAGGCCAAAGTAAACTGAAAATTTTGCATAGTTATCTGCAATAAATTTTTAAAACAATTAATGTACCTTTTGCTGAAGAACAAATTGAATAATTGAAGATATATATGTATATAATATATAATATATAAAATTTAATAATATAATATATATAATATATAAAATTTTCTCGAAAATTTTCTTTTCAGTGAATTTTGAGCAACACAGTTTAAACAAATTACAAATTTCATTTTTAAGGACTCACTGGATCACTTAACTCATTAAAATAGGATGGGACCATATGTAAGTTTTTGTTGTGAAATTATAATTATAAAAATTTATTCAAATAATTTCGATAAATCAAGTTAAAATTTAAATTAAAACTAAAATTGATCCGAAAAAAAATAATGAGTTGTACGATTATAGTTATCCTGGAAAATTAAATTTTATCTAAGAGGCAAAAGAGCAATTGTGGGTTGTTTAAGGTATTAAAATTTAAAAATTAAAATCTCCAAATTAAACATAATAATATTGAGTGCGCGAGAATCTCTGATTTGCGCGCATAGATTCTTTATTTTTTGGATGCTATTTGCAATTCTATTCTATAATATTCGAATTTATTCATGCATAATGTAACATTATGCTCGAAATCAGAACAACAAACCTGCAATACGCAAAACTTGGGTTATTGTGGTGGTAATCGATGCAGCTTTCGGAAAATTCTCGTTAAAAATCTCATCAACTGAGTTTCGCTTATGGGTTAATGACACTCGAATGGCCACGGAAGAATTATCCATGCTCGAGATAAATCTTCAAATAGCACCATTTAATCTCAACTTGCGTTTGCGACAATAATAATAGCATGACTAAGAATTAAAAATATTGTGATAAATATTTGGTAAAATTAAAAATTATTTTATGGCTCATTCATAATCTCTCATTTATTTTGTTTTGTGGAACTGTATTATAGCTATATCGCTTATACTTTACTTTTATCTTATTCTATTCTCTAATGCATTATTAATTAGATTAATGAAGATTTGACGTGGAACATGTAGGCAATTTTAAAAAAAGATGTCCTTGAAAACAACATATGCTTTCTTCGAAATTAGATTGACCATATCTTCGAATGCAAATATTTGAAAACGGGTTTGCGACGACTTTTCTGGTATCCGTTTGGATGATCAACACTTTGAAAAAATAATTTTTATGTCATATTGAATAATAACTAGTTTTTGCTCCTCTTTAATTTGTTCAAAAAAAAAACTAAGTATGATTTTTTTCAGGCTTATGAAGTATAAAATGCAATGAATTTAAGATTGTCTAAATTTTGAAACTAATATTCCACTTATAATATAAAAGAGCTCCTGAGAAATCCCGGCAACCATTATATGCCCGTGCTTTAAAATTAGACTATTGAGTCCTTTAAAATCTAATTTTAGCCTAAATTCCCAAATTTACTTATGTCACGTTTAATATCTCATCATTCAATTTCTATTTTGGTTGATATGGACAGAACTATTACAACTATTCCAGTTGTTTTCATAGTTAAAAATTTTTAATTCGACACACAAATTGGTTGTAGAAGTTTAATTACATACAAAGTGGATTTTTAAAATTGTTAAAAAGTTACAAATAGCACCTTATGATAATATGGACAATATTATTGAAATTACTGAAACAAGAACATGGCTATTGCTCATTTTAAGTAAACAAATAAATGATACCAAAGTTATGAAAGCAGTTTCAAAAACATAAAATTAGATTCCATATATTTTTGCCATTAGAAATTTTTTTCAGCTTCTTTCAATTTTTCTACTCGTATTAGCTATTGGACAATTGAATTCAAATCAGCAGTCTCAAATAAGTGAGGGTCAATCATTTTTTCCTCAAAGAAAACCAAAGCTTCAATTTTATGATGAAATCTTATCGAAGGAAAAAAATAACAATAATGGTCGAGCAAGAATATCAGGAATCAAATTAAAGCAACCAGCTGGCTATGATGGATTTAAAAGGAATTTCGCCTCAGTTGCCAGCTCAAGGCAAGCCTATATTGCTATCACTATTACTGTGACATTATTATTGTATTTAGACCATGAATAAGCTGGTAAGGCTTGCTCGGATGCATAATGAACTTAATTGGGCTAATTAAATCAAAATCTCATTTTTGTCTTCGTTTTGCTTTGAAGTTCCAAAACGATTTGGTTCATGTTAAATCGCTGTTTTATCGAAAATTCAAGTTTTCTGAAAATCTCATATCCTGTTTTGTTTCACAATTCATTGATATTCGTCATGTAAATCACATATAATTCTTGCTGGAATTCTTCTAAATTTTTATTTATGTAATAGATATCTATAGCGATGGCAAAGATGACCGTTTTCTTTAAAAAATATACAAAACGCAACATTCTTCAATGCCAGTTCATTATAAAAAATGCCAAGTTAAATGAAAATCAGTTCTGGGAAAAATATCCATTTTAGACATTTCACTGGAATAGCTGGACCAAGCGGTGTCGATTTCAACCCTCTAATCGGCAACGGAATTCAAAGTGGTCCAGGTATAAAAATTCGCATCAATCAGCGGACATTTTTTTATTTATCAAGCTTAGCAAAAAGTGTAATCGAACAAATCGTACCATCTGCACGTATTCCTGATGTGAAAGAAAGAATAGAAGAGGTAAGTACTTTTATAATTCCTTCTTTTTCTAAATTTGATAATTTGATAAATAGATGATGGATATACTATGTAAATTAAGGTCAAGTCATAAAAGTTCTGTTCCTGCCAGTTGGTAGGTGAAAAACTTATTACTGCGAAATAAATTCGTGCGATATTGCGGATTTGCCTGCATTTCTATCTCTAAATGACTAACCGGCAAAATCCCTGGTGATCAATGCAGTAAGCTACACCAGAAATAATAAATAAAAAATCAATAGTTTCAAAACTGAACTGATTTTTCGCTTAATAGCCGATTATCCATATCGCTGTATTGAGGGGCATGGGCTGAAATCCCGTCATCATTAAAAAATCGAAGAGGAAATTAAAAAGGGAGAAAAATATCCATTTTCAACTTTTTGAGCCAGCGGAAATAACCTAACCAGAACTGCTGGGCGCCACTTATTTTTTTGCTCGTTACTGAGTAATAAAATTTTTCGATTTTCTTCAACAATTTATTTAAAATTTTCCCTTAATTTTATTTCTTTCCTCACCGTTTGTATTTCCGAGAATTTCTACTAAATTTTCTCTTTAATTGCAAGATTTTTGCGGATAACCAGAAATAATGAAAAGTTTTTTTTTTGTAGGAAATTTAGAAAAATATAAATTTAAGGCGATCAATCAGATAACATTGATTTCAGGTGAATGGCGAAGTATCAATATGTAATATCCATGTCTCGCACTTTAGGCCTCCATGTGATGTTCTTGTCTATCCAGCGCCAAATAATCTTTTGGTTGTAAAAATTGATGATTTTGATGTAGGGTAAGTTGTTTTCCAATCAAATGGACTAATAGACTATCCTTAAAAATATGGGAGATTAAAGTAGAAAAAAAACTTTTTTTCAGGAAACACTTATTCAAAAAATTTTGATAATTTGGATAATTTTAAATTTTTTAAAAATAAAAAAAAGTATTTTTTATATTAATACAGAGTAACTGGTAATCTTGATGGAGTCGTAAATGTGCTTCTTCCTATCAAACTTTTTGGAATCGTCCATGCTAATCTCTATCATGTAAGCTTTAAATCAGTGGCCTTCAACCTTTTACACTTATTTAACGATATAAGAGATTAAGATTCTCCTCTTTATAGCATATCTGTTGAAAAGATTGAAAATATTGTTAAGACTATTAAGCGTTCACAGCTTACTCAGAGAATTTTACCCATTCCTTCCTTGAAATTCTCCATCAAATCATGCTTAAGATTCTTTAAATTATATTGTCCTACTTATTTTTCATAATTATCATGCTTTTAAAATAAAAATTAATCTAGTTGTGTTTGTAGAAGTATTTTTATTCATGTAGGTTTTGTAAAACTTTATTGAAATAGTAGATACAGTGAATTAAATCTCAAGAAAAAGCTAATTCTCCAATAATTTTCAATTAATTAATTTTTTTATCTCATTTTTTCAGGTCTCTATAACTGTGACCACTGCACTAGAAAGAACACATACTGGACAAATTTACGCTAGAGTATGTGGGTGTGACGTGAATATTGGATATGCAGATGTGTGCATTGAATGCGGTGGTCTTGTTGGTGATTTAGTGAACGCCTTTGCAAGAGTGAGTTTAGCGAATGACAAGATTTTCTCTGAAATTCTGAAAAAAATATAGGTGAAAGCAGATAATCAATTCCTGATTCTATGAAGGACTTCTCTCTTCTCACTGAAAGTAAAATTCTGATGGTTGAAGAAATCCAGTGATGATTCTAAAGACTCTAATTTCAATAAGTAGTGTAGCCAAATGATGTCATAAATGATATTCTTAGGGAAAGAAACACCACAATTATGGTACTTTTGGATGATGGTGGTCTATTTATAATTAATAATGGAAAGGCTTATGATTTTTTTTGTCTTTTGCAGCAAACGATTGCAGAAAGAGTAAAAAACTTAGTTCCTGCAAGAATTTGTGAAATGCTTCCATCATTAGTGGAATCTAGAGTTAATCCCATGCTGGCAAGAATACCATTATATATTCCATTTTCGGAGATCACTTCGTCACTTAACAATATATTAAGCCCCAATATTCCACCACATGTATGTCATTTTTTCTTATCAAAATCTTTTCATCATTTTATTTCAAACTTGTTTAATATGACGTAATAAATTGGCCTTAATCAAAAGATGGATTTATGCTACAAAATAAAATATCAGCAAATTTTTACTACAAATTATTTCAGTGTTTATCGCCGATTTGTAGAGCAAGACCATCCCCTACGCCACCACCACTACCAACATCCACCGTTGCTCGACCGCCCAATAATCCTCCACTGCCCAACTTTACGAATAGCACTGGATTTCATAGGATTAATGCAGCTACCTTATTGAAAAATGGATTGCACAAGGTAAAATATCGGTGCCAATGAATAATTTGATTTGATAATTTGCCATTTCAATCTCATTTGTAATCCGAGTCATTTCATGTTTTTAGAACGTGGTGAGTAATAAAATTCGTCTGCGACCAAAACGACAAATAATCACTATGGTTAGTGGAAATGCGAAACCAGAAACCTTTACACTAGTTCAAACCAATTCAAATTTAAGAACACCTCGCGCTCATAGACGGACATCAATGAGACAACAAAAATTGGCACAAGGAGTTAAATCATGGAATAGAAATATTCGACCATTAACAAATGCAAATGGTGAACGAGGCACACTTTGTGCTGGTTGTCCTCCTGATGACGGTTCATCAGCAATCAAAATTTTTGTCCTGCAACAACTTCGTTTTGTGAGCTCTTAAAATTGCAAAAAAATTTTATTAACTTTGAAATACCAATGAAATTTATTAATTAGAAGCAAAAAAAAATTATTTCAAAAAGAAGTATCAAGATCAATACAAATAACTAAAGAAAAGAAAAATTAAATTAATGCTAGTTTTTTTAAAGCAATTTCGCTAGAAAATCTCATTTCTTTAGGAAAGATTATCTGATGTCAGCTTGTCTTTGGCGATATTAAATTTGTATGCAAATCAATATGGCTTCGAAATTGATATTGCTGGTGAATTCAGTCCCAGAGGACTTGGTGGGACACCATTTGGCCCTTTCCCAATGCAGTTTCCCACTCCATTAGGAGGAAGTATGATTGAAATTCTAATCAGTGATTTTACAATTAATTCACTCCTTTATGCAATGCACAGGTTTGTAAAATTTATTTTCTTTGAAATTCCTATAAACAAATTTAGCAATCTTACAAGTTTTCAGAGTTTGACAAGAAGTAAATCCCCCCTACCATCTGGACTTGATTTATTATGGTAGGATTCATTCTCATCTAAGAAAGAAAATACCAAATCATTGTCTTCCTAGTTCAATATCTTATTATAGGAGAGGATTTCTAACAATACGAATTGGACCAGAAGTTCCCGGTATTGGAGCTTTATTAAAAACAACTTGTGAAGAAGAAGACTATTTTGATGTACGAAATCCATTTTGATTATGAAGATTTTATCATATGATTCGTGAAAGGTAAAAAAACGAAACAATGAATTTATTTTTAGGAGGAAATGGCTGATAGAAAAAATAGTAGTAGTATGGTACTGCTGGCAAATAGGATCCGATCTCTCGTAAATCGCCGTTTTAATATTAAACGACGAAATAAACGTCAAAGTGATTCTGATTTAAGCAGTTTGGCCGATCTTGGAGTTTGCCTCGGTGATCTTTCACCTCCTCTTAAGGAAAACTACCCGAATCGATCATTAGCACTAAATATATATACTGGTCGAGCTCCATCCACCATTTTCAGTGGACATGGGGAAGGTGAGTTTTCCATTCGTTTCAACAAAAAATTTTGACTGGCAGATTTCCTAAGTAATATGTAATAATAAATTCAATAAATTTGCAGGAATGGTGTCTGTCGATATTATACTTTTCGTCGATATTTATCTTGATGGCACCAATATTAGAGTTGGATCTATCTCAATTGTAATCATATTGGACATATCAGTTCGCATAATTGGAAACAGATTGACTGGAAATGCCGTATTTCGGACTCTTCAGTTATCTGATAGGCTAGGCACTCTTGGACTGGATCAAGACGCCTTCAACAACCTCGCCAATTTGGCTCGAGATACTTTAACTAAAGTATTATCACTTTTCTCGTTATTACTCCACCTTTCAAGTTTTTTATATGATAACGATAAGTATTTGATAAAATGGAATTTTTCAGGCAATAAATGATAGACTTCGTAATGGATTCCCAATTCCATTGCCTGTAGATAAAATACCAGTTCAAATCAACAATCTAAATATTCAATTAATTGAACGTGCAATTTATATTTCAGCAGATTTTATAGTCCCACCAGCACTACTTAATGAAATAAGTTTATAATAATTTTACTTTCTAGAAAAAATTTAATATTTTCATTGAAAACAAAATTTCCATTTATGTAATTTAAATAAGCAGCGTTTCAACATTTTATTAAATTGTGTATGCCAAATTCCTCATTCTCAACTTTTTTTCACCACATAATTTTGTTTCTCTTGTTCTATTTATTCTATTTGTAAGCCATTTATGGGTTCAATGTTCTCTCAATTAAGTCAATTATTAATGGTAATATTCGATTGAGCAACTACAATCTTTCATGAAATAATTTACCATATTATATTGTTGCCTGCTGCTCATTCAGTTTTTTCTTAAAATGCGGGTGGAAATAGTAAAAATGGAGAAATTTAGTGCCTTTCGAAAAATTATCTGTATATTGTGAAATTTTTTATTCCTTGTTTGTTATTAAACGCAATAAAAAATTCTAGAAATATATTCAAATAATTTTATTTGAGCATATGCATTCGTAAAAGAACCATGAATCGAATCGATAGTTCGAATTTCACGTTTAGACTGAGCAGCTGATGTATCTTCGCCGCTGACCATTTCATTGGTCAACTTTTCATGTTTCCAAGTAATTTATTCTTGCGTCGCTTCGTCATTCAACCAATGCGATGAGTCGAATAAAACGAAATTTTTCCAAAGAAGATGCTATTATTGCAATTTGTTTGGTGCATTCGGGGACCACCCAAGTCATCCAAGAAGATCTTTGCAGAGGTTTGCCCTCCTAACAGCTGATTCCTGCAAGAACCCTTCTTTTGGTGCATTCAGGAACCATGAAATCGTCCAAGATCTTTTCAGAGGTTTTCTCTCCTAGCAGCTGTTTCTTGCAAGAACTCTTCGTTTCAAAAATAAATGTAATAGTTCATTCATAATTTTTATTTTGGAATTTCCTGGAATTTGAACTATTGATTGAATGAAATAAATTTGCTTAGTAAATGAAATTCAAACAGAGCGGTCGATCTATCGATGCAAAATTTTATTTTAATTTCGTCTATTTTTTTTGGTTCATTATCCGCGCTCGCGGTTTTTGATATCAATACCGGACTTGCAGCAAAAATGAAAAGGTTACTGAATACAAATGGTAAAATGATATCGTTGCTTCAAAAGCAAATCTGCTAATTTACTTCTAAAGGGACACATGTTAGCCAAGTCGTTGTCGTACAGATTATCGTTTGACGAAAGTGCTTGCGGCAATAGCAAATCTGCCATGAAGAAATTGGATATTGCTATAGATCCACCCTTACAGTAAAATCTGTGGAGCAGGTCTAACAGAAATGCGTTAACCGCTTAATTTATTTCTCTAAACTTGTTTTTCTAAATTCTGCTACTTAAACCAATTTAATTTTGAGTCAATTTAATTAGCCATGATAATTATCTTCCTTTGCCAACTAAACTAATGGAAACTGGTGGTTCTGCTTCAAGGCAATTCAAGGATACAAATCTTTGTCCCTTGACTAGAGTAAACCTGCATTTACAAGTGAAAAGGTTGGATATGCGGGAGTCTCTTTCATGGTACAATATTTTTAATCTTTAATCCATATTTTCAATTTTTGTTTAAGCGTTATTATTTGCATATTTTAAAAATTGTTAATCTCCACATAATCAAAAGAACTCCACCAAAAAATCATAGAATGAGATCTTAAGTGCATTCGCTTATGCTATACGTCCGCCCGATTAATTAATTATACTTATCCTTATTTGCATCGCTTCATAGAATTTGAGCTATATGTAATATTGTGTCATCATATATTTTACTACTGCTGTTTCAAACAAACTGTTTGCCCACCCACCATATTCAATACAATCGGTCATCGACTCACAGGCATTATATTTTGGCGATCATGATTAGTTTTGAATTCATACTTATTATCTTCGTATCATTTATTCAGGTGACCAAGAGGCTTCATTCTCGTGGTCAAATCAAAATTGGCGAAGATTTTTAGAGGAAGGAAATTTCTCAAGAATGATTTTTTTCCAGTATTTATAAATGAACTATTAACGGACCAATAACAATTCAACTGATTAAAATTTTTCATTTATTATCAGCAAACTTTTCTAAAAATGCAAGGCAATAAATAACGACAGTTTTAGCGAAATTAATTTGATGGATAGCATCGAAATGTCGCATTATCTCCATAAATTAGGTCAATTAGCTTTTTACGCACGAATCTATCGTATGTGGATTAAGCATCCAATAAGCTCAGCAAGTGGATTCATAAGCGAATTTCCAGATGTAAAAGTTCCAGAAGAAATTCTCGAGGCATGTCATAAAGATTTTAAGGTTATCAGTTGAATTCAGCTTAAGTAATTCAGTTTGGAATGTAATTAATAGATTTGCTAAAATGAATCAATGGGTTGTTTCCCAGGGTTCTGCTTAAGAGCTTCCTGGCAAAGTCTGTCTAATCTGAAAAGTCAGCGAAATAAGCCTAATTGAAAATGCTGGGTGTTTTTAGAAAAAATTAATGGATATGGTTGATTTAAAATAATATTTTATTCCAGACTTGTGTGCTTACAATATGGAATAGTGTCAAAGAACGAAATAGCTTTTTGTTCACCCAAGCTCAAGGAGATTTTAAATTAGAGTTCGTTCATACAGAGTTTTATTAAATACTTAATAGAATTATTGTTTTTCGCTCTTCATTTAAGTCAGTATTGTAATAAAATTTATACTAAAAGAGTGTAAGAGAAATTCATGCTCGCGTTTGGAGGAAATATATTATAGATAGTACCAAAACCAAATTAATAACATTGATGAGCTATGATTTAATAAGATTCATTGCAAAAAATGACAGGATGAGCAGCACTGGATGATTCGTGGCAGCAGTTTTAATGATTTTGAAATTCTTTAGCAAACAAAAAAAAAAGTATAAAAAAAAGTTATTATAAAAATTCATAGGTTATAAAAAGCCAAAATTATTTTTACGAATTTTTTTCAAAATATTTTGCTGTTTTGCCAATTAAACTAAGTAATCGACAACGCATCTTTTTTGGTTCCTGCAGCTTTTTAAGTTAAGGGTCATGCCAAGGATTTACCTCATCCCCAAGTGGTTCTTTGGGAAAGAACTTGCTACCAGAATAAAATCTTTACCAGACAAGAAATGGATGAACTGGAAGAAAAAATTTTTTTTTCTTTTTTTGATTAAATTTATTTTTATCCAAGGAAATAAATTTATGCTATTTCTCTAGCGCAGTTGAAAACCTTAACTTCGTTGCCTTTTCCTCTTTCGACTCGCTTGCAGCCTTTAACCAAATGTTGCTTTTTTATTAACCTGGCTTTTTTTAGGCCGCTTCCTTGAGCATCAACAATTTTCAGAAATTTTTTTAAATTAGATATTTTATTCATTTTTTAGCTTTCAAAGGATTCTAATTTTAGGAAAGAGGAAGTTATACGCCTAGTCAACACTCGAATGTTCGATTATGATATATCAGCATTTCAGTTATTTTGCTGGATGACAACAAATATGGTAAAAATTATGGAGCGTTTACCATTTTGTAACATACAACCTATGTCGTCTTTTGAACACGCAAATGTTTGTTTTGGGATCTTATTTCTTGTGAGAAGACAACTTTTTTGCTTGGAGCAAAATCCATTTGTCTGAGTCCATTTCCAGGAAACGAGGCGAGGATTGAAACGAAGAAATCGGCAAGATCCAGAAATCTATAGTGTATGAAATACATTTAGTTCGCCATATTAAAATTTTAATTAAATTTAATTAATTAAATTTGATAAGCAAAAAACAAAATGCAATTTTAGTTCATCTAATTTATCTGATTCAATCTTACTGCAATTTTTCCAAATCAGGCATCTTTTACTAAGTATGAAATTATCCATATTTTTCAGTGGCCAGCAAGCATAATAGAACAGAAGACGGCAATAAGGTTTTCAAAAAACTATTATGTAACACTCTTTGGTTTCGATTTAAATAGTTACAAATGTGCGCATGAAAGGTAATTGCAAAAATTTCATCTCCAAAAAACCCTTCTAATTGCTGATATTATGATGTCGATATTAAACTCTCCCACATTTCTAAATTGTTAACCTATTCTTATTCACAGTAGAACCTGAGAGTAAATTATTTGATAATAGCTAGTGAATCAGCCAAAGAAGAAATAGTGCGTTTTGTCCTGTTAAAGAAGAAAAATTATGATATTTGAGTTCTTCAACCATTCAATTATAATTGCATTGCACTGGTTATTGGACAACAATTTCGAATTCTTGTAGTTTTTGCGCAGATATTTGCAAGAAATCACGATTATCTTGCCCAAAACAGGGCAAATGTGATTTTCCTTTTTTTTACAATAATGATTTCTCCGGTATGCTAGAAAACAAATGGAATATTTCATGCCCATGTGATGAAGGATTTATTTATAGGTATATTTGAATACTTTATTATTTGCGATTAGCAGAGACTACTGCAAATGCTTATTTTAAAAAAAAATCACTTTAGATTTGATGTCAATCAGTGTGTCGATTTAAATGAATGTTTATATACGAACTGTAAAGGTTTGAATTGAGAGCTTAAATTCCCGAGTCTTTTAAAATCTTGGGAAATTAATCTAAGCAAAAAAAGCTAGAAACTTGCTGAAAATCCCATATAAAAGGAGACCTCGTAAATAAATGAAGATCAAATTTGATTTTAAAAAAATTCAGTGAACGAACAATGTATCAATACGTTAGGCTCATATAAATGTGTATGCAATCTTGGATGCCAGCGAATACACGACAAATGCATGCCAATAAAAGTGGAACCAACCAACTGGAATGGTCCAGGCAAAATTAGCGGGGTTGAGCAACCCTATAGTTATCATGTGATGCCGATTATCAAACTGTATAGTAGTCTTTTCATAGTTATCTTAAGTTCTTCCACTATTTTTATATAATCGATGGAGTGAATAAATTCTCGGAAATATGATAATAACGTTTCAACAAATGTGTTGGCATTGTTTTCATTTTCATTTTATTTCATCATCGATTTATTCTCAGGTCGAATAGAACAAAAATAAATGATTCAGAAAAAGTAAAAACATTTATGAGGCATGAAAAAAGCAAAAAGAGCTGTTTAGGACAATAGAAACAGTACTGCATAAATGCCGGCTCGTTTAGCTGACAGTGAAATAGTTACACTATGCGATTACTTCTTTCTACCTTTTATGAGCCTTCTAGATTACACAGCGAGTTAATTAAAAATTCCCTCGTTCTTTAATTTCGCAACTAATAAAATACTTTGGTAGAATTCAAAACAAATATTATTCATGGCATAGTTTATATAAGCTGTCAAGTTTAATTGCTAAAAATTACAGTCGATCAGTCTATGAACCAAAGAATAGGGGAAATCTTTAAATAAACCTGAAATATTGAAAAATAACATTTTTACTTAGCCAGAATTTATTTTTTATCCTTTTCATCTGTGCTAAATCACAAAATTTATTTATCCTACTTCTTCTTCTAACTCTCACTCGCTCTCACCATTACTAGTTACGCTGGCTCCACGGGCTAAAAGGGTAAGACGTTTCCAAATTGCGCGATCTGATGCCATCATCGACAGTAATAAAAGCCACTTTTTTTTCCATCGTCTAAGTCCATATATCGCTGGTCTCCCTATATGTTTAAAATCTTTTCTAACTGCATCAGTCAAGGTCTTGATTGGTCTTCCTCGCTTTTGACGCCAACCATTGACGCTTTTGACGTCACAGGTTTTAGCAAGTAATGAAATATGTGTCAATTCTTGTGGTGGGCGACGAAGAACGTGCCCTGACCAGCGAAGGCGAAGGTGATATTAATGCAAATCGTATTTAAGCGAAAGTTGATGCTATTATGTGAAATTTTATCCCTTTGTTCGAATTCGTAAAATATATCTTGGACATGAATGGTCAAAGGCAGATAACTTCTTAATATTCTCCATTCTCATTAGCCTGATGTCTCGCAACCATATAGCAAGATCGAACGAATTGAGGCTATGGACTTTACTTTTTAGGGTGATTTCGCGATGGCCTTCATAAAGGTTTCGTCAACCAGAAGAATTATTTCTTGCTGCCGTAATCCGGATTGTAATTTCGCTTTTTGAATGCGTTTATAAAAAGAGGCATTTTATGAGCTTTTTGTACATAAGACAAAATAGCTTTTGTTTTATTGATCCCGAGTCCTATTCTTTGCAGATTCTGCAGTTGCTGTTTAGCATTATTTGCATTTCATAACTATCAGCGAAAAGATTTGTGATATGATGATCTGAACTGATTTGTACATCTTTTGAATGACGACAAACGACGATAGAGGAAAGAATGTTGCCTTGACGAACAATAGTTTTCTTTTCTAAAGAGTTCCCAATATACACAGACCTGCACCGATGTATGCTCATAAAATGCCCTTATGATCTTATGAGTCATATGATCTTCTTTGGAATATCGTCACATTCCATCATTCTCCAAAGTGCTTCTTAATCAATTTAATCAAACGTAGCTATGGATGAAACAAGTGACAATGGGTTGGTTGCAGATATTTAAAGCGATGTTCCAACACCCTCCTTAAAGTGAATATTTAGTCAATGCTACCACGTCGAGTCTGAATTCAGCTTGGTTAGGACGCATCCTGTTATCTCGTGCTGTTAATAAGTCTACTGAGTAAAAGATGTTTGGTATGTTGATTCCTCGGAGATAGTATGTCCTGTCACCTTTTTGAAAATTAGGAGGAAAACTGGTTTGCTCCAGTCATTTGGAATATTTCTTTCTTCCATACCAGAAAATACATTTGTTATAAAGAACAGTGGAACAACATTTGAAGAGTTCAGCTCGAAAGCCATCTTCTTTCGGAGTCTTATTGGCCTTAAGCATATGGATAACATATGGATGTTTCTTTTCTTGTTGGCGGTTCGCAATTGCAAACGTATGGTTCGACGAAGGTATCAGCTATGTCTGGCTCAACAGATGGCGCAACTTGGTTAATTATGGCCTCAAAGAATTCTTTCCACCTTAAGAGGCGATCCTTAATACTTTTAACAGGCACACCATTGCTATCCCTTACCATTTCACTGATCGTTCTCCGAGTTATACTTGCTTTATGAAGATGGTAGAATAGTTTCCTACTATCGATTAATCGAGCCGCCATCTTCATTCTCAACGCCACTTCGCTCCGGTAATAATTTCTGTTCCACCGTGTTATAGATGTTGCAATTCTTCGAAGCATTCTGTAGCCAGGAACTCCTGACATTAGGCTTTGGCTTTTTCATGCAGTTGAACAGTTGCATCCGACATCCAACCAGCTCATTTCCTACTAATATGCCTGGGTATGAAAGTTTTACCGGAAAGTCACTTGCAGATGGAAATTCGGGAAATTCGTTTTTTACAATAAATTTGCTCTCGTCGTGATGCCAGAATCAATCCTCCTTTCATCTGTTAATTTAACGTTTAATGAAAATTCGTGTTTTGAGAAGAATTTGGCATTGTAAAATATTTATTAGTTTCTTTATTAATTATTAATGCTAGCTTTTATACTTTCTCGCGTTGTTTACTTATTTAATATCATTTTAAAATACATATTGAATACATATTGATATTGAATACATGAACATAAAATGAAAAGTCATCCTGTGCTTTATTGATTTCTATCGATAGAATCACGGAACTGGATTGTCTACAAATAGTGTAAAAACATTAAAACAGGTTAGTGTACTTTAACAGTCACTATTATGGCAAGGTTCAACTATTGATTTCCATCTATTTTTCAGCTTAATTCAATATAAATGCCTTTTCATTTTTTCCCTTTGCTATATTAAAAAAACTAAAATAGAACCATAAAAAAATAATTATTCAAAAATATCGTAAGAAGTATCTATTAAAATTACTATCGCTCGATCATCATCATTGCTAATTTTCCTTTTTATTTTTTTTTTAAATAAAAACTTCTCTTGAGATGAATGAAGCATGAAAATGATGATAATACTACATATATTGTATCAAATGAAGGGAAACGGAAAAATTTCTGGTTAAACTCCACTGGCCATTAAAGTGATTTGAAATTTTTGCCAGGGAGTCACCTGGGATAAAAATATGGATGGATCTCCAGTAGCAACACGATTTTTCAGTCATAATCATCTAACTCGCTAACTTATCCACCCTACGATGAAGTTTGGTGAAGTTTTCATGAAAACAAGATATATAATATGTCAAAGCATGAAGGTCGCATTATATTGCGGCGTATGAATAGCTGTTTCGGCGCATTCGGTTCATTTTCTGTAATCTATGAATTTTTCTAAATCATTCGCTCAGCAAAATTATTTAGATCCATTCCATGATTTAAATAATAGACTGAACGATTGTTTTTTTGTTCTTCTTGCTTACAACACTCATAATTTTTGGTTCAATCCACTGGCTGCTCGGATGAGACATTTTCATCAGATAGGATGACGCTGACCCACGCTTGGAATGAAAATGTCTGCTTGAATAATTCGTGACTATTTGAAAGACTAAAATTAATTGAAATAAATAAGCTAAAGAATTAGATATTTCTAGTTAGGTACATTTTAGATTTGGAAATTCGCGAAATATTTTTCTTTAAATTTGTCTTCAATGGATTTTGCAGTTCATCAATTTGCCATCATTTTTGCTTGTTTATTGCTTCAAAATAAAAAATCGAGATTTTGACGACTGACGTGTAATATGTGATGAACAGTAAAAAAGAGATGGTTAGCGGACGATTTCCTCTGCTAAATTCAAGCCGTCATAACTTCATCAGAGTAAGCTTGCCATTAAAAAAGTAATCTGAATGGTACTGCGAATTCAGCAGTACTTCAGTTTCCTAAGTGGATTTTCAGCGAAGACTTCGCATTCTAGAGGGGCAGAGCTAGCCAAATGGTGAATATTGTTAGAAGAAGAAGAATGAGAATTAATGGTAAAAAAAAAATAAGAATTAGCCTTGACCTTAATTAAAGATTTTTGAGAATTTTTTGTATTGATAATTTTCTTGTATAGATTTTTTTGCACGGATAATTTTTATACTTATCATGCATATCGCAATAAAATTTAACAAAAATTTTAATCAATTTTGAGATGCCAAAACAGGAATTTGAATTCGTGGATTACCTTGGTCCACTGGCTGTTTCAGTTTGTTTTGCTGTAATTTTGTTCTTTCTATCACTTATCATCAATTTCATTTGGATTACAAAGGAAGATGATCGAACAGTTTTCGAAAAGGCTAAATTTGTTGACTTTAAACAAAAACTATTTAATTGTTCTAATGTAATTCTAAAGTTTGAAACACATTTCTATGGAAATTTTCGACTAAAACAATCGTTTTTTGGTTGTTCCTAGACATTTAAACTTTGAGTCTTTCTGGCTATCTCATTTTTTGAATGCATCCAAAGCATAATACAATTGTGATATTATTGTTTGCAACTAAGGAAGAAGGGGTGATTATTTTTAATCCACTAATGATACTCATAGCACTTTATTTATCCGACCAATTTTTTATTAAAAGTCTATTTTAGTTTGGATCGACTTTCGATCTTCGATGTGGAGTTCATCGAATGCGTCATCGACCTAATAGGGTCATTGTTTTTTTTGCTGGCCATTTTTATATCATTAAACTGATACCTTCGAAGGCCTTCCTTCGAATGTTATTTTAGAATCTGTAGATAATACTTCTTTGAAAACTAAAAGCTTCTTTGCTAAGTCTGGAATTAAAACTTTTAAATTAGATACATTAATTTTCTTTTCAGTCTCGGAAACGTCAGCCAGTTATCACTTATCGTGGATAAGCAATTGTCTACAACTGGTTTGATTGATTTGCTTCTTTCGTCCCTTATGATTTTTTTTCAATCAATTCAGTTGTTCCTATGCAAGCTGAACAAATAATTTATTGCTTTTGCTATACTGTACAAAGTTGCCGTTTAGCGCTCGAAAAACAGTTAATTCTAAAGAACTAACATTTTCTTAAAATTTATTAAAGTTTACTGTTTCTCAGTCTCAATTGTCAGGTGTTTCAATATAAATGAATATAAAATTCACTAATTATTGTGTAAATTTAATAATTTCTTTTTTTATTCTAGCTGTAAATAATTTTTCATTTCATTGTATAAAATATTTACGTATATATAATTATAATATATAGATATACAGTTATATTAAAAATGTATATAAATATACGGTGTAGTAGAAAATCCAAGGAAAAGGGTAAGGGTATGCGTCTTAAAGTTTAAAGTCTTTTAGGCCATAGTTGATGCGTTTATTGGTTTTAAAGAACCCTCGATGACCATTTCAAATGTTCACGCCACCAAAACTATATTCACATAATAATTTAGTACTATACAATGGGGTAATAAAGTATCATATTAAAAAATTTCGCACCTTCAATCTCTAATATGATTTTTTTCTAATATAACAAATATCCATAAAGATTAACTCATGGAATCAAAATCTCTAATAAATCCTTAACAATTCTTATTTAAAGAAATTAAAGAAATTTTTGAAGAAAGAGTTTAAAAACCTAGTTTGCGTTATTATGTATGGCAAGATTTGCAATAGAATAAGCACAATATTTCGAGTTATTTACAAATTCGAGGCGAAAAAATTGAAATATTAAATATTGAAAAATTAATTTTTCAGTTTAATAATTGCATTAATATAAAAATTTTTTATTGACCTGTTTTTGCTTTTCCAGAATTAATCGAAAACACACATTAAAAATTAAATGTCATTCATTTCATTATAAAAATCATTATAAAAATCAAAATTTTTATCATATAATATCATCATATCATATATATAAATTATTTTCGCAGAATTATTTGAGTCAGTCGATTTTCCAGAAATGTATTCATATAACAGCAATGTTAGTGCAGGTTATATGGAAAATTACTCAAAAGTTTCTGAAATATATGAAGAAAAGAACGATCATCTACAAAACGACCAGGTGATTTTGTAATAAATTTGAACTTATATTTCTCTCATTATTTCTAAATGAAGCGATGATCATAATTGACATTTGTCTTTTTTTCATAGTGATTGATTTAATGCCAAAAAAATTCCATGTTCTTTTTAAATATCATAATTATAGTGCCGAAAAAGTTATTAATTTGTAGATAAAATATGGAGATCGATTAACGGATAAACTTAACAGTGCCTCAGTATACACTAGCTATACAACATATTTCTGTGAGATTTTTAAAGGTCTTTTCAACTCGTATCGACTATTAGATCGGAAATTTTGCGAATTTTAGAAAAAATAGACTAGAAGTGAGGCTGTTAAAAGGAAACTGCCTTCATCACATTCTTCGTTCTCCAATGCGTGAAAACGATAGCATTTCGCTAATACAAGCATTGTTATGGGACCAAATAAATTATAAATGTGCTTCAAGATTAACCAATAATTAATCAAGTGTTTAATTAATTTAAATCTCTATATTATTCAAAAGGCCTTGAAGGCATTTATTTGATTTCTCGGACATCATTTTCATTTTAAAAATTTTCGATTGTCCCATTAAATTCTTTTCGCACAAGCAAATTGTAACTGGAACCTAATAATTTGCGAAAATTCATTAGTGGTAAGGAGCCAGTCTTCCAAATTCTGTATGATCAACTACGAGAACATTATATTCTTGTTGAAAAAGCTCCATCTAAAATTGCCGTAATATTTGATTAGTTGTCAACAAGCGAGACAGCGAAAGAAGCTGCAGTTATTTTTAAAAAAACTACTTTAACTGAAATTAAATTGAAATTGATCACGATTAATGGGTAAATTAATGGGTAAGGTGGTGGCTTGTGCTCACAGTTTTTGCATCTCACTGATTGTTAGTACGATTGGAAATTTTTACCAAAAATTCATTTATCACTCAATTTTTTTAATGACAGGTTTGTTCTTGCCATTTGTAGGGAAATCGAACCTATTATGATACTTACTGCAAATCGAAAGAACTACGCCACTCAAAATTGATGAATTTTTTAATCCTTTTGTATAATTTTTGAATCTCTGTGATCTTAAAGAAAGCCTGAATTTTTCTCCGTTTTAGGCGTTTTTTTGTCACAAATTTGTCACAATTATAGAAATTATCGAAAGGAATTCATCATGACAAATTATATTTGAAATGAAATGAAAAAATAACAATAAAAATTACGAACGCATAGATGTTTAGTTCAATATTGGTATAATTGATCAGATCTATAATTTGTTTTACCATTTATTCGGTAAAAATTCTATAACTGTTCGTAGATATTGTTAGACAAGAGGAGGAATGGTCCTGCGGCCATCGCACGATTGCAGATGTCACGTATCGGGCTTTCAACTAAGATCCTCGATGGTAAGTTTCTTGCTTAACACAGGATCTTCTTTAATATACTTTTAATCTACTTATTATTAGGCCTTCTCTTTTTGAGAGGCAAGAAGAAGTGAAAGATGGTCAAAAGAAACAATCCGTCCTCAAAAATGCTATTTAGGCCGTGTTTATATTTCCAAAATTCTACATTTTCTAACTGATAAAACACATTATTGACATGAATCAGTTTTAACCAGTTGATTATAGAATTAAAGTAGTGATTAGTAGCAAATGCGAACTAGCCAAAAAGTGAAAAAAAATTTGCCAATCCTTTTTAACCTATACAAATAAAGAATTACTTTAGATTAAACCAAATTACCCAACCTTATCTCAGATTAACTCACAAATTATTAATCACAAATCAAGACTTTAATTGAATTATTTCAGCTACTATATGAATCTGAGAAGCATTTTCGAGTTTTTCGTAAGAATATTAATGATGGAGTATTCAAGCGAGGGCGATTTTGTTTTGGCTTGTTCTAATTTCTTTGGGAAATTAGTATTTTTTTTTGAAAAACTCTTCATCGGTAGAAAAATTTTCCATTAAAGATTATGTGACATAATTGTAAATTTATTATTGGCCAGAATTAAAGTGGGGATCATAGATATTCAAGAATGTTAAAGATCGGACCTTGTTTTGCTCTTTCAGCTCTTCAGCTTTTTTAGATGTTTCTTCTGGATCATTTATTGTTCGTGAATTCATTTTATTTATTATTTATTGAAGTTTGGATATTTGATTTTTAGTATGAAGGTGCAAGAATTATCCAGACAATGAGCAACATTTGCGGTCAGAAAATCACAAGGATCCATTCTTGTAAAAGGTTATCTAATAAGAATGGTTGGGCATAATTCTTTGAAAAGCGATTTTTCATAAACTAAGGAATAATTCTTCATTGATCTCCAATCTTCTAATTAACGACAAGCAAAAAATCTCGCAACAAATGATTTTGCTTTATTCAAATCGAATAGCACCCATATTAAATATTAAATACAATAAAATTTATTTGGAAGGACGAGTAGAGCGATTATTCTTATGTGACATGAACACTGAATAAAATGTTCATAAAAGGATAAGAATTGTAAATAAAAGGCGGAAATAATGCCTCTATCAAAAACTGAGATGGTTGTATTTATGGTAATATTTTTGTCAAATAATTGCCTCTCTTTAATTTATTTGAATATTATTGCATGCATTAATAATTTTCGAAAAAACTGCTGAAAGGTTTTCCTTCTTATTTAATTTTATGGCATTTATATAGCGTTTTTTTCATTAGTTCAAGCATAAAACATATACAATAAGAAACAAAAAGATTAGATAAACAAATATATTCATAAATAGAACCATAAATTAAAATTATATTTGCAATATGATTTAAAACAAGCAAATATAATGTAAACACGTAAGGTATACACCGAATCCACATCAGCAATATATCCGCGGAGAATTAATTCGTTTAATTCGATATGGTACTCAGAAAAAAATGTTGCAAGCCGTACTTATCGTGGGGATTTAAGATATACCATGACAGGTGCTAAATTTCCTTTAACTGATTTGTATTTTCATTCAAAAATGAAATGAAAAAGTTCGAATGAAAATTCAAAGTGCTAATAAAAGTATTCGTTTTTAAGGGATGAAAGTATCTGAATTAATAATTGCAATAGAGCTTCCTCTTAACTTCTGCAGAAGGAGGTTATCTTAATCTGTATTTTATCATTTCATTTATGGAGATGAAACCTTATATGATTGCTTTTCAAGGTGAAAAGCTCTCTGCGTCAAGTCAATAAATCAATCAAATTGATTATCGTGAGTTTTATATAAAAAGTGCCAGTAGTTTCAAGCCATAGTCGGTTTCCTCGATTCGCATCGTCGCTTCTCCAGAAATCCTTTCTTGAATCTATAATCGTAAATTGATCATCCATGAACGAATAATCACAAAATTCTCTTCACTCTTAAGGTGAATATTATTAAGCATCTTTAATTCATACTACATACTTTTCAAAATTTCTGTTAACTTTGCAATCATGAAAGCACGCCATAAGTAGAAGTAACAATATAAACATCATTATAAAAATAGGTATTAAATGATGGTAGAATGGGATAACAAAAAGTTCCTCGGCGATTTCATTCGATGTTTTATTTGCTGAAAGATGAAGATTCGAATCGCTCATTGAGGATAATTTTTTTTATCAAGATCAATCTAAAATTTGAAAAGACTTTTTAATAAAAAAATACGGAAAATGAAGGAAATGAACGGTAAAAATTGCAGAATTCTTTTCTTTTTAACTAATATGAGGATCGCTTTAATCACTGGGAAATATGAGAAACGACCATAACACTTGGAAAGAGCGATAAGAGGCCAATAGCGATAATTTATCAACTTGGAATGATAAAAGTTTTTATTAGTAATAATAGTTATTATAGCAATGATAGCACAATGATTAAAATTTAAATTTAAATTTAATTTAATTCGGATCTACCCGCAATAAATTCAAATATTATTAAAATCAGTACGCTTAATTGTTACTTATGTTATTGTTGAAAATTTTTGCCTTTTATTTTTTAACAGCAGTCACCATTTCTGATTAGTCTAGTTCCACTGGTCAGGAATAAGCTACTTCGCAAGGGAATCACTGGAGGATGGAAGAAAACAGATATACTGATTGGTTCCCCAGAACCATTTGGAATGTATGCTAATTTTTTACAACGTGGAAAGAATATTTTACAGCAATTTTTAGCTGAATGAATAATAAACGTGGGTTGCAACAATTTCCGCTATCATAACCAACCATATCAATTATTCTTCCCTTCTTCAGTAGTTAACGAGCAATGATTAAAACAAAAGTGCTGAAGAAAAAACTGCGATTTTTGCTTGTGTTTCACTTCATTCTACTTTATATACTTTATATACTTTTATATATTTTTTATATACTTTTTTCTAGCAAATTGCCTTTCAAATCCAAACGAATGAACCAAATATTTTTTCAGATTAACTTTTGAATGAAAAACCTTATAGAAATAAGTGAAGTTTATTGCTAGATAACACATTTTTTTGCAGATAAGAAAGTATTATTTCTGTTGCACTATTATAAGAAATTTTTCTATGGAGACAAGAATTTATTAAGATTTGACGATATAATATAAGTGAATTGCGAGCACTTCTGCGATTTTTCAATGATACTTCTGATTACTTCTACTTTTATCCCATTGGAATTAGGAAGCAAATGCTTGTCACAGTTCGAATTGTTACCCATTTTATTATCTCTTACCTCTACATGAAAAAGTACGATTTTACCGATTTTTTTGTGCAAAAAACAGCAAACAAGATAGAAAAACAATCTGAAAAAAAATTTATAAATTAATATTTAAAAATAATTACGACGAATGCTTTGAGAAAAAATCTACACTGGTGAAAATTATAACAACAGGACTACTATCAAGGCATCCTTAACAAGTGATCTGACTTAGATGGTTGAGTGGTATGTTGTACAACTATAAGTTCACCAAAGATTCGACTCAAAAATAAAACTATCATTAAAATAAAATCAGGTGGTGCTGAAGCCTCACCTATATTTCTATGTCAAGCTGCCAAACTTTCAGTAAAGAGATAAGTGAACCAAATTAGAAATGATGAGTGCTTTTCGAAGAAAAAGAATGTCTCCAAAAATAAATGACAAAAAAAGCTCATATAAAGCTATTCAAAAGGGAGATGGGAGATGGTAGAAGGGCTCAGTGGGCTGCTGCTGTCATCGATGTTGCGATCCTAGAAGAAGCAAATCTATCTTTCAAAAATCCGGATGATGTTCACCTGCCATTTCGCTGCCAAATGGCTTTCTGGCAAAATTTACCTAGTCAGAAGTTAGCGCATCGAGCCTAACCACAAATGGAGTGAAAAAAATAAAAAAATTAAGAGGGGATGCGAATTTAATATTCATCGGCTTGCAATCTGAAAATTATAACCGGTTAAAATAATAAAATTTTAATACACAGCTTTATTCCTTCAATTCCTTATATTAGTCAAATAAAACTGAATTGAATTTAATCAATTAAAAAAGAAAACTTTAGAAAAGAAACCCATCCAACAGTGGCTAAAATCTCTTAATAATAGAAAAGGCATATTTTTACAAATTTTGAAGCAAAATGTTCCCATCAGAAATTCATATCCTTCTAAAAAACCTTGTGACAGAAGCGGAGGCCCAATCAAGACCTGGATAGGCAGGATCAGGAGAAAGAGGAATTTCAAGCGCTTAAGCGGATATGGACTTAAATGGATTGCTTTTATCTAATTTCAGGCACGACGTCGGATCCGGAAACATGGAAGCGTCCTACTATAGTCGCCAATGGAGTTAAACCAGTGATAGTAGGCGCTATTAGAAGAAAACCCGAAATGATGCAAATAACGAAATATTTCAATACTGTAAAATTCTACGATAAAAGTAGAAAAATAAAAGTAGAAAATAATGCTAAAAATTCCAAATTTATGAAAATTATTGTAATAATCAATGATTATAACCTAACGAAACAAAGAAATGAAAAAAATTTCATAGTTTTCTTGGTCACTTATTCAGAAATCATTAAACATCTCTCTAACCCCCCGTAAATTTTCCTACGATCAAATCAATCTTTATACATTTTACACATTTCTAAATCGTCTAAAAAATCTTTTATTTTTGCGAATTTTTCAAAGAAATATCGAAAAATTCTGCCCACAGAATGAGACCACCATCTGGTTTTTTCGGGTTCAGACTTTTTAAAAAGATAAAATTTAATTCTGCTGAAGGTAAGATCTCAAATCCGATGCTCGAGGCAATAATCTAAGGAACCACTCAGTTACACTACACTTTTAAACTGAAGGAAATATATAAATTCCAAAATTTTTTCAATTCCAAAAATAAATCTGAAATAAATCCGTTCGAATCAAGATTCGAAAATTTGAACACACGCAAATTAAAACAAATTTTGTTTTTCGATTTGCATGATCTGAGAATATTTGGGACTGACGATGACTATTTAATATTTTTTGCGCCTTGAATCAACCATAAATTTATAAATTATAATTTATGAATTCTGTCTAAAATCTTTCCCCAAAGACCCTCTGTTCTGAAAAATTATTTGGGAGATATGCATTACACTTCCTGACATCCATTCCACTGGGAAAAACTGGGATATTTCACTACATCACTACTTTAATACTACATCTCATAGTGCTATATACACTACCATGCAACCTGTTTTAACATCAAGAAATCTCTTAAAATCTCAGTCTACAGAAATAGCGATTCTCAATTCCAACTTTTAACTATTAACTTATTCCACTGCAAATAAATTTCCTTTGCTACTTTATCAAATAAATTTTTCAATTAAAGTGAACATAACATAATAGCAAACGGAAATTCATTAAATTGAAAATTTAGAAGAGATCGACAGTGTAGTTCGTCATAGCCTCAATACAAACACAATATTCATTTTGTTTATATAAGTTTCATTTCTGCCTTATAATTATAAACCAATAATTATATATAACAAATCCATTCAATTATATTTCGCTTTTTCAAAATAAAATCTCAGTTGATAAAAATGCCAGTCTGTAAAATTCTAGGACCAATAGTGTACTTAGGACTAAATACAAATGAGACGAAATTCGACCAACGACTGGTACTTAAAAATGGGTTAATATAAAGAATGTGTCGACTGCCAATGATGTGAAAAATTGAAAAAAATACAGAATAAGGAAAACAACAGTTTATAATTATGTCATAACGCTTCAAATATTTTCTATGGTTTGGCTTTAAGTTTTTTCAACTATATAATTCTTCGTTTATTTACAAATTCAGAATTTAGAAATAAAGCAACGGGTTTGGTGAAAGCACGTATTTCCAGTATCTACACTAGATTCTGATGAAAAACTAGTTAGCAAAACAACCAAATATTTTGTCAATGATCTAATTTTTATCTGCAAAATCTTCAAATATTCTCATATTTCATTTAGTAGTTGATAAACTGATATTAATGGATTTCATTTTTTAAGGTAATAGTATATTGCAACAAAATCATTTCCATTGAAAATGATAAAATCACAATTATGGATATCATCTAGTATTTATGGGAAAGAATGTTTCAGAAAATCAAGTTTACAACATATACCAATATGATAAAAAATGAACGAAAACTGAAAACGCCACAAATTGCAGATTTACCGCGCCAAATTCGCTCTTAATTCTCGAAGAATTTTTAACCATTTCTCTCGACGCTCAGCTGGATCTAATGAGAACTAAAAATTAAATTTCCTCATAAAATAGCAGAAATTCGATTTTGCAACTTCTAATAACTCTTGTGGATATCTAGTTTGATACCCATTTATTTTTTTCTCATTTTGATCAACTCGTTGGGCATATCTGATCTAGCCAGGTCTACTGATTACAAAAACTACGTAGATAAGGTAGATAAGGTATAGCAGAGGCCCAAAGCGTCATGCGAATTTTATCTTGCTGAAAGTTTATTTTAATGAAAAGATAGAAATCCAACTCGTTTGACCTTCAAGCGAGCACTATATGACCATTTGAAAGCAAGTAAGATCTTGAAAAATGGTAATTGTTAATACTCTTAGAAAATCTCATTTGGCAATAAAAGTATAAAGAGTCGCCAGAAAACTGGTTTTTCAATGATATATATTTAGTTCTTTCAAGGGCATGAAGCAAACCTTTGCTTCTCAACAAGATAATGTGAGTTCCATCTCTAGCCTCTAGCATTACATAGTGGATAATAAACTTTATCAGCTTATATTTAAGGGTACATCTAAATTTTTTCAAAGTCCATCCTACATGATTATACCACAAAGCCCAACAAAACGACAATCTTGAAAACACATATCAAAATAAATTTTCCCCCACTAAGTTTTCGCGCAAAAATCGCCTAAAATATCCAGTATTATTCAAAATAAACACTTAAATACTTACTCTTGGATGCTCCAACCTTATTTCCTTGGGTTTTGAATATTCCATGATTTCTTCATCCTCTTTGGATCTTTCCTTTAAAGCTATAGAATCGCGCCATTTTGGACCAAACATTGCTTTATCATGAGCATCTTCTTTTTTTCCTATGGCAGTTCCATGGCCATCGCAATCCTATAATCTTATATAATCTCAAAATTCCATTTTTAAAAAAAAAGAAATTCTAAAATTTGAATTTCAGACAAATTGATTCAGTTCTCGATTTGATATCTTTTCTGTTTTGAAGAGTATCATTCCTGGCTTTTAACTTGTCAGACCAGACTTTCAACCAAGATCAAAGTTTGCTAGGAAATTATTTAGCGATAGAAATACATGTAACGCCAGCAACAGATTTTTCAGAGATTTTTCAGAGGTTTTTGAAAGATTTTTGAAAGTCTCGCAGGTTTATTCCAAGTACTACACATCAGCAGTCCGAAGTGAGAGCAAGGTTATGAACCCATTCTGTTGTCATTCGATATAAAAGTGGCGCAAAATATGAAAAAAAAAAGATGAGAAAGTGTTTTAAAAAAATGTAGATACAAAAAGATAGAACTAAAAAGATAGAACTAATAAATTAATAATATATAACTAGTAAACATAAGAACCTCATTCTTAATACGCCCTCCAGCTCCACCTGCTGATGAGATAAAATTCGATGAACGAAAATTGTCATCTTCAATCAATTCGATTTCTCGTTGTCTCGTTATTGTTATTGGCAAATCTGAAAAAAATAATTTAAATACATTTTCAAAATAAAAAGCCCTGAAAGATAATAAAGAATGCGAGATAATAAGGATATTTACAAATTTTGACTTCAAGCCAATTTAATTCGGCTATGGACTGGACAACCAAAAACAATAACTTAAATATTCTTTCTTTAGTTAAATGAATTTGAAATGAAGCTCATACCATATTTAATATTGCTTTTAGCAATTTCTTTGAGATCCAACAATTCCGATTTTGCTGAATCTAATTCAGAACGCATTTTTGACTTTGCGGCTCTGATTCCCTAAATACAACTATTAAATATGTTTAAAATACCTTCAAAATCAAAAAACAAAAAAAAAAAGATCTTATTCTATTTACAGAACAAAGTATTTTTCTGGACTACAGCGGCCTTAAATCATCGTTGAGAAAAAGAAACATATATATATATAGCAATGATACAAAGCAGTAAAGTAGAATAGAGATGAAATAATGGAACGATATGAGTGATGATGGAGAGATAATAAAGAATGGGAAATAATAAGGATATTTAGAAATTTTGACTTTAAGCCAATTTAATTCGGCTATGGACTGGACAACCAAAAACAATAACTTAAATATCAGTTTAACTGCCCTCAAATTCATAAATGCAAATTTAAAGGTTCTACAAAATTCCTCTCGTGACAGTAGTTGTTATTTCTGGTTTGATCAGCTCCATCAGTACTGGTTCAGATGACCTCTTCGCTAGAGGTATGACCTGAATCATTTCTAATTTTCAAGTACACTCTCGCGACAGGCTACAAAAATTAAGCTATGTCCTGGTAAAGATGAACAGATACTCTGCTCCAAATTTAAAAATTTCTTTAAGATTTTACAACCACAAAAAAATTTTTCCATCAAATTGCTGAATACTTACTTTAATTGCTTCTTTCGACTTCATTTTTGGTCTAAAATTAAAATTTTTGCTTTTGCTATGCCGAGGACTCCTGTAAATATATGTTTTCACAGTTTTGAACTGAAATATATTGGCATTTTACGTTTTGTAAAAAGCACATCCAACTGTCTACGATTTACCAGAAATTATAGCAGAAATATTCGAAAAAGAAATCTGTTGATAATATGATAGGGTAACAAGAATTATGACAAGTTATTCATTCATTTATTTAAATTAATCTTAATAGCGTAAAAAAAGTGCAAAAGATATAGAAATATGAAAGCAATAAATAGAAGAAAAGCCGAACGTGTAGTGGTACACTTCGACCTGCGGCCAGGAGCAAATCTATCATTAAAAAGTCGGGGCAAGGGCAATGGTCACTCGTTTCCACTGCCAAGGAATCTCCTGGCAAAAATTCGTCCGCAAGCAAGCGCAGCCACTTTGACAATAAGGTGATTTTTATTGGAAACGTAAACTAACCGATCATCATCGTCATTATCACCACCATAGCTCGAGCTGCGATCCCGCATGCGGTGATCCCGGCTCGAACTGCGATCCCGACTGCGACGACTGCTCGAGCTACGATTTCTTCTTCGACGACTCGAACTGCCGTCTTTACTACGACGACGGCTTATACGATAAGACGGCGACGATTTATGCATAACAATGCAAAATCATTCAAAAATCGTTGGTCAGTTCTCTGCTTCAGTTCAGTTTATTGTTTGCTAACAGTCGTACTCAGCTGCGGACGAGAAGAACAACTAATTCCTCCGCAGATTTATTAATTTGGAAATAATGTGGTTGATTGCAAATCTATTCGTGGAAGAAATTTCCTGAGAGAGCGCGACGCACTACGGATACATTTGGGTTTATGGGTAATGGGTTCGATTAATTTCTTCGATGTGTCCACTTCGCAAATCATGGGAACCAATTTGGTTTGAAGCAGAGAAAATTCTGATTTCAATTGCTGAAATTTCTCTAGTTGTGCAAATTTGAAGAAGCAGTCGGCCCCGATTAATATATTTTGTTTTTTCCGGTAGAAAGCTAGGCTTGCTGTCGGCTAATTCCCCTCCAGTGTAGATGGTTATCTGCTACTTGAAGTTCTTCACTCGTTAAACAATCCAGTCCACCACATTCACTTCCCAACTGTTCTCTCCTTGTCCTTATTTCTTATTTCAGTTAATGTCTTCATTGTGGGAAGTACCGTGTGATATCTAGTTCCAAAGGTAGATTTATTTAATTCTGTTAGTTCCATTTCTTCAAGTTCTAAACGATTTGCCAATTCTCTATGTACAAAATTTAATTGTGAACCAATATCAAATAACACTAGAATTTCTTCAAAACAATGTTCTGAATTTTCGGGATTATAGACAATAACTTTTTCACATAAAAGTAAAACTTTTTTCTCTCCTTCGTTGATCGTGTTGATGATAGCAGTTTCATTATCTTTATATCTTTATCTTTATTAACCTTTATATCTTTATCTTTATCTAATTTGACTTCACTTTCTGATTTGGGAATATGTTCAGCTTGCTTGAACTGTCGTCTATTGTCGCAGAGTGCGCTGTTATGTGATTTTGTGATATGTGATTTTTTACAATAAAAACATTTCACCGATTTTTTACAGTCGGCCTCTGTGTGTCCTCCTTTGAGGCGTTTTCGACAGGCTTTAATCTTAATTAAACGTTCTAATCTTTGTTTTAAAGTAGGATGAGAAGAAACGTATTAAAAGATTTATAAGCGAAGTGGCAGAAGATCTGCAAGGGAAATGGAACATACGACGACGATTCGGGTAACGAATTAGCTTCGTACTCGCAAACATAGATTAATAATTCCGACGGACTTGCAATCATGAATATAAGTCCAAGTACAAAATGACAAATATACCCACTCACCACGTACCTGTCGGACCGAAATTTACACCACTTGGGGCCCCACGGTCACCCTCGATTTCAAAGAAATACGGCCACAGGTGGCTGCAGATGTATGGTGCAACAAGGTCGCGCTTGTATTTCCACATATTTAATTTTCAAAACATCAGTTCAAAACAAAGCGCAATTGGGTTGGCAATTTGCCAATTTTTATTTAAAATGTATCAGTCGAAGAATTCCATATTTGAGGAGGATGGCTTCTTTTCTTTTACTCGGGTTTTATATGGAACGGTCCCAGGTTTCTTGGCGGGGACTGGGTCCACCGTTCAGGTTTTCTGTAAATCGGAACCATGGAAATGGATTCGACGGTTTGAGAATTGGTTTGTCTCTGATTCTGTCATCTTATTTCATTCATTTTTTTCTGACTAATTTATGTGGAATAAAAATTGATGAAAGCGCATGCGGGTGTATTAATATAAGGTTTTTTACGATTCGCAACACTTATGACGTTCGCTTTATAATGAAATTAATTCTTTCCCAAACATTGAAAGGTCGAACATATTTCTAATTCGCATTTCAGTTATCACTGCCCACGTCAAATCGCTTTTCTGCAGCGGTTTTTGTCGATTTGCGAATCTGCCAATACATTTTTCTCTGCAAATGAGCAAATCTTCCAGCGTTCGGGTTGTTCATGGCGATGATGATGATGAAGTTGGAGCAGAATTCGAAGATGAATTCGATTTCACAACTGACACTGGTGGGTCTCTTTTTAAATTCGCGCTGCTTTTTCCAAGTCCGCATGTGTCATTCTGTTAAACTGCTATCAAGTAAGTCATCCAAATTAGCACATAATTTATCGTCTATGGTGAATAATGATTCAAAACTGTAAATGCAAAAGATGTGGATTCACACAAGGTAATAATTATGAATTGGAAATTGGCTGTTCTCTGTGAGTGTTCGGTGCGATGTCACATATAACTGGCCACTGTAAACAAAAGAAATGCCTAAAGAAGAGGCAATATAATGAAGGACTTTAAAAATTGTTAAGAAAACAGAAGGTAAATCTACTCCTCATAGGTAAATCTATCTTTCAAAAATCCGGCAATATTTCACCTATATTTCTATCGCCAAACTCTCTGGCAAAATTTTTCCGCTTCATTAAGCCAGTGGTGTAAAATATAGCGACCGTTTATAGATTTTAATGAAAATTTTTTCTCATTGATTGGCATATATAAGTCTGTTGATCATTGTTTCTATAATCAGCAAATGATAACGAAGTTATTTATCGTTGAATCATATGAAAAAGCTCATTTAATTTGTGACGATCCATGTTGATCTCCACCAATTACTGCAGAATCTCTTCTTGGTAGTAAAGAGTTTGATTTTTTTACGATGTCCAGTATTCAATTTGATTTTGTAGAACCTTTGGCGAAATATTAGGTTTTCATAGTATTCATTCAGATTATCCTTTCATTTATGGTCAAAATACCAATCATCTGAATTTTTTCATACTTTTATTCTTAAAATTTCATCACGATGAAAATTTAGTCAGCAAAACAGTTTGCATGGAAAATGGTATTAATCAATCAGCTAGTTGTGAGGAAGTTTGCAATGCTAACGATGAAAAGCATTCTATTCTCATTTCAAATTGCGAATCATTTTCATGTGGTGAGTTTATCTATCAGCTTATCCAAGATATATTGAGTTCGTACTTTACAAATATGATATCTAAAGTTTCTTCCAGCTGAAATTAAGAATCAGGATAACTGGCCTCTTAACAACAAACAAGAGAAATATGGGAATAATTGCGAAGTGTTTGCACATAATTCGATCTCAACAGGACCTGGCACACGTTTAAGCAGTACTAATAAATGCGCTGAAGTATCAAAAGAAAATATGCAAATGCAAGAGCAGAACGACGATGCACTTTTTATTGAGAACCCCAAATTTTCAACTCCAAAATGTTATATTTTATTTAAAAAAAAAATACATCAGAACATAAATTTAAGGAAGTTACATTTTTACCGTTCTTGACTGTGAGGAAATTTTTATGATTTACAGATCTTTTATTCTGTGTATTTCTTGTTCATGTAATTCCGTTTTCAGCGTTTACAGAAAATTCGCAGAAATCACTTCCGAGATTAAGTGTTTCGTCGATTCTAGCTGCTAACTCAAAACCTCGAGCAAAAATCTTAACAGAAAGCCAGCAGATCAATCAAAATTGCATGCCTAATGAAAAAATACTTAGTCATTCTATAATTGATAATGTTCTTTCAGTTAGTTACTTGAAACAATTTTTTAGTCTTTTTATTGAAGTTTTATTTTCAGTTCATTCTATCTGTTAAACTGAGAAATATAGTTTCTGTTCTATCTTTCAGGCTAATCAATTCACTGACATGGATGATAGTGCATTGGTAAATGCGTTAATGAGGGCTAGGTCAAAAATGTCATTAAAAATTATGGATTCTAAAAGAATGATTGGTATGTGTACTTACAAGTTTCATTCATACGTATCCTTTTCTGAATAGTTTATATTGTCATGGTGTCATGCTTTTAGTAATTGTATTCTAAATAGTATTTTATAGAAATTTTACAGTGTACTTGTGAAGAGGTCCAAGAATTGGCTAAACGTCGTTCAACTCTTATACATCCCTTTGAATATCACGAGAATTCATGTTGCCTTAAATTTCCTTTTTAAATCTTATTTTTTTTCACCTATACATCATTCCTTTGTTCTGTTTTAACCTCACTCCACTATACCACCTCATTCCATCATTTTTTTTACGTTTTGTGGTTTTATGGCCTCTAAATGCAACTGCGGTTGCCTGGTTATAAAATTCAGCGTTACGAAAAATTTTATGAAGTTGGCACAACAGGATCTAAAGGAATTAAATTGGTAGGAGAGAATATAAGCTGGTATTGATAGCTTGTGATAAATCGGTTCTTCGAAGTTTTATTAAAGAGATGTTTTGTTGATTTTGAGGAGAATTTTTATAAAAGTTTTAGTTTTAGGGAACCCGAAATAATATCAAAGGACTTGCAAAATGATGAACTGAAATTTTGAAATTGCTTTTCTACATATGGCTACATTTCTTTCCGGACTCATTGACCTATCCTTCCACCCAAACATTATTTTCGCATTTAGACTTCCACTCATTATATCGAATTAATTATTCAGAAAAATCAGAAAGTGGAGGTTCAATAGATTTTGGAAGAGTTGGGAACATAAGAGAACGTTCGAAGAATTTTCAGAATATAGATTTTCAAAAAAATAATGGTTCTCGATTACTGCTGGATTCAGTTCGATTCCCCTTATCAAATTCTAGGTAAAAAATGATTTTTCTTACACGAGATGTTTATTGTAAGAAAGTAACTTTAGCTGGTATGTCTTAAAATTTAAAAGTTTCTTTTGTGATAGTCTCTTGCAGAATATTTCATTAATTCTGTTTCTTGAGACTTTTATGTTTATTGATGGACATCAAATGTATTTTTTATATTGGAAAATATGACATTTGTAAGGATGGATTCATTTAATTTTTTTCAATGTCAATCCATGCATTTGAATCGTTTTATCAGATCAGATATATTAAATAAAAAATATCCCAATTGTTTTAATTCAATTCAGAATTTTTTAAGCTTGTGCGATGGAGCTCGAAATGAAATTCGCGAACGGTGTCTTTCTTTTGATACAACTTTTGTTTACTTTGGTTTTGTAGACGTTCATTGCCAAGTAAATCGATTCTTAAGGATTCGAAACAGAAGCAACAAAAACTTGAATTTGCTCATACAGCTTAAAAGCAATAATAAAGATTCGGTTTTTCGGGTAATATTTCAAAATTGTCAATATTTTTTAGTTTATTTTTTATTATACTTCGCCTCAGAATAAATTGAAAAATTTTAGCTCGTTGATACGGAAATTATGATGTTAAGACCTGAAGACAGTCACAGTATTAAAATCTTATTTGAACCGAAGCTTGCAGCGTGTTTTCGTGATACGTTATGCATCCGTGTTATGAATGCTAACCACGTGAACTATTCAGTGATTTTTTAGTCTTTATATTTTATCTTTATCTTTTGAAACAATATTTTATAAATTTATTTTATTTCTGTTTCTAGTTTTATTTGTCGCGAATTTCATTTGTTTTTTGCGATTTTGATACGATAAGACAACTTATTTACCAAAGTTATCGAATGATCACGTGAATTATTCAGTGATTTTGAAGGTGCCTATGATGGGTAGTGGTGGTATTGCCAATTTGCAAATATGCCAGCGTGCTGGAATAAATATGTTGAGGGATGGTTCATTTGTTTTTTCTACCCAAGGCTATTCTAGTTTCACTTTTGATATTAAAAACAAAGGTGTAAGGTTAGTTAACTGCGTTTTTATTTATTGTTATTTATTTTTTGATATGGCACCAAAAAAGATTGAGAAAGTTTTGTCCAGATCTGGCCCCTTTAGCAATGAAATGTGAGAGCTAGCAGATAACCAATAGTCAAGTGGCGAATGCAGTCGGTCATTTAACATGCTCTGTTGGCTATAACAATAACTAGATCAAACCAAGAATTTTCGTATGAGATAAATCTGCATTTCAAAAGAAATAGCGGACATTGCCCTATTTCTTGTATATCAAAATCTGAGAATTTCAGCTGGCTATCAATAGAATCGTTTAATTAAATCTCACAAAAACAAGAAATACTTATCAGATTTTCGATTAAAAAAACCTTAATCTAGAAACTTTGACGTTCTAACGTTACAAAAAATAATTTTAAAGAAATGAGTCGTGATCATCTCTACTTGGTATAAATTCTTGATTAGTCGTGATAAACGGTCATCATCAGGTCTCATTTTGTTACATTGACGAATCGTTTGAAACGGATATTTACATTCTTAAGATTTATTCAAACTCCTGTTGTATATGCTGAGGCAATTCGACCAGTAAGAAGTCAATTTATTAATGTTCCCTTGGTAACAGTTTCTCAACTTGACAATTTTTGGATTCCTTAATGTTTTTAGAATTTCCTAATCATTGCGTGCTACTGCAGTTGTTGTTTTGAAGTCCTTTCTCAAGATCTCTCTTTGACGAATGGAAGAAACTGCAGAGCATCTATTTTCTAAGCGAATCTTCACGCGAATGGTGGCTCTTTGCCTTGAATGTGAAGCTTTTTAATGCACTGGATATTCTTATTAGCAAATTTCATTAATTTGTCAGCAAAATCTCCGCCCAGCAGACTTTTTTTTTGACCTTGAAGAACTTATTCATTTCACATTTTCACGAGCTCGACTTCATGGTGATGTACGTAGAGATGGAGGTCTTATTATATTTATCTCTTTTTACTATAAATGTCTGATAATATTTCTTGATACGTTGAAATCTTTAATTAATTTCGGCATCAACTCATATATTTTTGGAATCAACTGTGATTTTCTTTTTTCTCCTTAGAGTTCGTAGAAAAAAAATTAGGTGCGTTAAATAAATTTCGTTTGCTCTAATCGAGAAATTTATTCCTTTAGTCAGAAAAAATAGCATAAAGATTCCAAATTCCTTAAAGTCTGAAGAGGTAAAATTTTTTTATAATTATAGACCGACCATTCTCCTAACGATCTTTTATCATATAAAGATTGTTTGCAAAATTTTTATGAATTTTTTTTGACAGGAAGATAAAATATTAAATATTAAACTCTGGCAATCTTGCATTATTTTGGATTATATTAGAGATGAACTTTCTAATCCAAAATAAATGACTTAATATCTGCGTTCATTGAGAATACTAACATAGGTATTATTAATGCATTTAACACTATTTTATTACCATTTTTTTGGATGATAATGCTTCCTGCATTATAAACGCTTTGAGATATTGATTTTTCATTATTAAACATGAACACTTAGATTAGATTAGATGGCTATAACGCAGTTAAAATCGTCCTTATGCATTTGGCCTGATCAACTCTCAAAATTTTTTTTGAAAATTTTTAAAGATACTTTTTGCTGAAATTTCCAAAATTTGAAAATTTTCATATGTATTTCCCATCTCCAAAAAATGATCGTTGCGTTGTGCACGTTAAACCCCTCCCCCTATCGTCCAATTAGTAAGTAAATAACCAATTAGTAAGCAGGATAGTGGGGTGATTAATTTGTACTAAACATCTGTAGACTTATATGATTATTTTGACTCAGTATTGTTATCCTAACATGGTTTCCTTAGGTCCACAACTTCCCAACTTTTCGCACATGACATTTTTGGTAGTGATCTCATTGGTCGTTCCCTGGCCGTCCACATTGATAATATTTATTTCATTTTTATTAAATCTGCTTTAACACTTGGATTTGTGCTTATCTTGGTTTATACGTAGATAAAATAAATAAATAAATATATATAAGATAAATAAATATAAATAAATAAATATTTTTTATTCTTTCTACAATTCGTTTATAGAACACACTTTTAGAGATGCGTTTGTTCGAATTGTTGTTTTTGACAAGAAAACAAAGAAACCTTTTCAAAATGTCGAAATCTTGCCTTCTGATTGTATTACAATTCTCCGTTGCAAAACTCAAGTAAAAAAAATATTTGATCATCCGATTTTATGGAAGAAGCTATAGCACTATCTGTACCGATTTTTTTTTAGAGGTGCCTTTTAAAATTCGATTCTGAAGCTGCTGTTGGTCATTCCGAAAGTGCTCTATCTTTGATTTCCGTTTCATCATCTGCACCATCTTATTACGTTCATTTGTTATGGGGTGAGGAGGCTCAACGACGTCGCTTAAAACGGTATATTTGTTTCTTTTCTTTCAATAAATAAATTCTCATATAATGTATCATTTAATGTATCTTTAATGTATCTTTTTGCCATACTGATGATTAAGATATGACGTTTTCAAGTCTGTTCTGATCCCTAAAAGTATTACAGTTAAAAATATTTAAATGTTGGCAATTTTCAGATAAATTAATCTTTATCTTGTAGATATGAGGCTAATAAGAAAATCGATTTGTTTTTTAATGGCTATACTTTTACGAAACCGAAATTTCTAAATGAAGAGCAGTCTAAAATAACGGCTTCAGAAAGCATAGAAGTTGGCCATTACGACAATGATTCATTCGAACTGGGATTGCGAATAATATCCATATCAGTCAGTGCCATTCCACTCTTTGTTTTATTTTAATTGGAAGATTTATATATTAATCTCGAAAATTGCTTAAACCATTTCTATTTTATTTCCAAGTTTTTATTGCAAGCTAATTTTTTTTTGTACCATCTTGCATTACAGAAAAGTTTTTGATTTATTTTGTTTAAAATCTCCTATTTATAGCTTGTTGACAATCGTCTCAACAATTTTTCCAGTCGACAATATGAAGAGCAAAGTGAGAATCGGCAAACTGAAAGAAGTATTATATTGGATCCTGATGCGACGTTGAGACCTGGATGCAATAATATTGTTGTTGAAGATGTTTCTTATATGTTATCTTCCAGTGGATTTCATGAATAATTCGATTAAAATAAAATGTTTCAGATGGGATATTTAAAGAAATCTGATTAAAATTCATTTCAAAAAATTCGATCTTAGTGATTCGATCTTAGTGAATTTATAAACATTCTCTATTAAATGGAATTTCGTCTTAAAAAAAAAAAAAAAAAAAATTGTTTTAGAAACCATATTCCTAATTTTATGATGATCAGTTACTTTACTCTTAAGTTTATTGCTTCTTTGAATTGTCTTTCTTCTTAAAATAAGAATTTATAATTTATAAGAATTTATAAGATTATTGTCGGATAGTATCTAATAGCGATGGATGAAATTTTGGCTTAAATAATATTACCCGCAGTTAAAAGTGAAAAGTGATTGTGAAAACGATTAGTATGAAAAATTTCAGTATCAAAATTTGCAATATGCAAAATCCTCATGGCTGCCAAACGTGGCCAGTAGGGTGTATAAATTAAATATACTAGGAGCCACCATGGTTCCTAGGGGACTTATAGAAGTCAGTTTGGGGAGTCTGAAAACATCAAACGAAAACTGTGGTTATGAATGGAGGATGGAGAGTTTTAATAAAAATTTTAAAATTTAAATGTCGAGGTGTCGGAAACAACTGAAAAAAATAAAGAAATGAAATAGTAGTTATACGGTAAGAATTCATAAAAAATTCGTGATTCGCTTTTTTTAAAATTCAAAAAAAGGAAAAATAAAATTTTAACAAAGCTTTTCACATCATATGCAGTCAACAATGTGCAAATCGCATGCAAATCGCATAAAACTGTTTTTCTTCTTTCCTTATTCACGCATCTGTTAAAAACTTCGTAAAGCCATCTTATTTGCATATCAAAAAAATAACTATGGGAAAATTTTTTTTTAAATTAAAATAAATTAACTTTCATGTAGTTTTTGATCTACCAATGTTTTGGAAGAACTCAGATTGGCAAAGAAGAACTTGGTCAATGTCTGATTAATAATAAATATAAATAATAATACGATTCGCCTTCGCCTTGTTTCACCATCTTTTTTTATTATTATTAACTATTCGCCTTGAATATATTTGCTTTTACTTTGAACCTATTAAATAACTATTTTTCATTTATTATCGTAAACGGTATTTTTTTAATAAATATTTTAATTCACAGTCACAAGAGTACATTCTTTTTCCGACAAAATTTTGGTGCTATGAGCCGGGAACATGACGACAAGCTTAACGAAAAGTGCGCAACCTGCAATAACAAAACTAACTAAACTCTTGAGTGAAATACGAAATTCGGATTTATCGCCACCGAATCATGAGCTGTCATTAAAAGAATTACGTCAACAATACGAAACTAAAAAAAGAATAATCGAAGAAAAGACGCTTCGAAATACACATTGGCTATTTGGAATCAGTCAATATAAAATGGTTGAATATCAATACAATAGTTACTCCACAAAAAAGAAGGAGGAAGAAGAAAAGTATACCCAAATGGTTGACAATGAAAAAGGCAGTTTAAACATAATAACTTATAGTAAAGAAGCCGTTGTTATACTAGACATGTATAAAAAGGATTTCGAATTAATCGAACAAATTAAGAAATCACATTTAAATAAAGAATCTAAGCAACAAGATGTAATTAATTAACCAGCTTCTTTATCGACAATAAATTTGCCGCCATTATTGCTACCAATATTTAGCGGAGGCCCTAAATTATGGAGAAAATTTTGGAGCAATTTTGAAGCTGCCGTACATTCGCAAAAAATTCCAGACAAAAATTAAATCATTTAGTCTCCTGCTTAAGATGAGAAACATTAAGAGCTGTGAGAGGTTATGATATCGCACAGAAAAACTACCAAGTCATACGAAAAGTTTTGACTGAAAAATTTGGGGAGATTTCCACTATTAAGAAATCTCTCTATAATGAATTACATACTCTCAAAAGGTATGATGGAGACTGGAAAATAATAGTCGAATCAATCGAAAGAATTCTTCGTCAACAAGAAACTATCGGCGAAAATCTTGAACACTCGAATAGTGAAATACTCATTGAAAGCAAGTTAACGGGATGGATACTAGACAAAGAAAAGACCTGGTCAGTAACAAAACTTCGACAGTTCCTCGGGAAATTAGTAAAAAGAAACGACTAAATAACTAGAAATCAAACCAATAATGAATAACAATTAACCAAGTTCAAATCCAGATTTTGGCAACAAAGAATTTAAAGAGAGACTTTCGCATTGGCAACAATCAATCAACCTAGTAAAGATAAGTTTAAAGTTATTTCAAATTTGTCGATAAAAAAAGGGTTAGATAGTAAGAGAAACATTTTCAACAAGGATCATTAGAATAGTAATTGTGAAACTCATCTTCTCGAAGAAAGAAAGAATTATAAATTATAAGAAGTGTATTCGAAATAATATTCAACGAGGATCTTCCTTGCGTGCGGAGAAACGATTAATTAGTTCCCTTAAATATTTCTTTGGTTTTCATTCTTTCAAATGTTCGATTAAGTAAAGCAAAGTGCGTTTTGCAAAATCCTCGCTTTATTCCGATGATTTTAATATTAATTAAGTAAATATTAGCAATTAAAAAAATATAAAAGTAATTCAAAAGTAATTCATGCAAAATCCAAATTCCTAAATCGATGAATATTTCCGCCAATTATTTTTGTGTTTCTTACAAATCGCCTTATATTTTTTATCGCAATTGATATTGTGAAAACCGAAACGTTGGACGGACAGAATGACGCAATTTTTGGTTTTATCGCCGAAATCTGGTTGTTCGTGGTACCAGTGACTGTAGTCATTGATTGATCCATCGATCCAGGTGAATTTTTGATTGACGCTGTTGCGATAAAGGCCAATCCAAAAGTTTTTCGTTTTCATTTCGAGTACTATATCTGCAAAATGATAAAATGATTTTAAAGCGAATTATCGGTGAATTTATCAGACAAATATTTATTTGGGCAAATTTAGAATGCAATATGTGTTGTTAAAATGCAAAAAATATGAAATAAATAAATAATAAAATCCTAAATATTTTCACAAAATATTCTGTTAAATGATAATTATCTGATAACTCTGATCACATTTTGCAAGTTTTAAGCTTATATTGGTAATTCATTCCATATTCCATAGTTTCTCCTAACTTATTACTAAAACTAAGGTGATAATATTTATTAGCATATTTTCATGTTCTAAATTTTTAACAATATTAGAATTAGACCTGTCCAAAAATTCAGGTGATGCAGGTCACTTACTCGTAATTCTGTCTCCAAGGGATTCTGGCATACTTGCGATAAACCAACGATAAGTAGCCATAAAAGGAAAATTGATACGCTTTTAGATTATATCAAGGAAAAGAAGACCGAGTGAACAGAGGTTTATGTCATTGTATGGAGAGGGAAGATGCTGCGGCGACCTATCTATACCTTTACCGAGTGACTTTCGAACCTTATTAAGTTCCAAGAAAGAGCGCGAACCACTATATTATTTTATAATAGTGCTTTACGAAAGTTTTACAAGAAAAGAAGTTTCGAAAAAATTGGAGCCCGTCAAGGCTGGAAATACGTTTAAAAAATCTCTGATCCCAATATTTTTTGGACAAAATTGCAAAACTGTTGAATTAAGACATCTGAATTACCGATAAAAATTTAGAATAAAAATTTATAAATTATCGAACATTCTTAATAACAGTTTGATATATTAATATGCGTTCGCTTTTCGATTAATATATTTTATTAATTTTATTAATATATTACAAATCGCCTTTTATTTTTTTATAATATTACTATATTATCTATATTTAATCTTTTTTAAAATCCTTGAAGATCTTTATTTTCTGCAGAAAGTTTTCAGGAAAAAGTATTATATAAACCACTCCAGCACTTTATTTCCTTAATTCATATTGCTTTTAGCTTTTAGCACACCATCAAATCCTTAATAATTTCCTCATCTTAAAATTCCTTAACTCTCTCAGATCGCTTTACAGCCCCTTCCCCCTAACCTAATCTCATTAATCTTGCCTCTTAAATTCCCATGTATTTAATTGGAATCCCTTCAAACCTTACTACTGCATTTTTGGTGTGAGCGGACACGAAGAAAATATAGGTTTGGAGGTGTTAAGAAGGTGTAAAGAACTGGAATTTGAAATGAATTGTGGAAAAAGGAATTGTGCGTCCATGTGGCAGGCAGGTCTTTTTATTGATACATGAATGGACTTTCGTAAAAGGCAATCTCAGCCTAATCCATATTCCCTCCTTATGTTCTCTCTCTCACTAATAAAATCTATAAAATCTGTATACAGTAGATTTTATTTATTTCTACCAATAGCTTTGAAGAGTAAAATGAGCTTATTCTTAATCGGCTGAATAGTTTCTGCAAAAGGTTAATTCGTAAATATTTATTCATTTGAATTACCCACCGCTAATGGCCATCATTTCTTTGTGGTGCTCGACTGACGCCAGATTACCCATCTCTTTTTGGCAGAACATTTCCGCATCTCGCCAGCTTAATAGATCTCCACCAATATGAAAAAAATTCGTTTATGGGCGATGACAGATGCTTATCTTTTCTTAAACCATTCTTTCTCAACAATTAGATAAGTTGATAATCAAGATTTGCTAAGCTAAAGTCCTATGGCACAATCGTTAGATAATTTCCTTTTCCATTATTTATTTTATTCGAAGAGATTGGCTCATTTTTGAAAAATATAGTGGAGAAAAATGAATATTTCCCTTTCGGAATGAAAAATCATGCTGATTTTTTAATTAGATTACTTCTATGATGCAAGAAAGAATTATGCAATACATTTTTGTTGATGTAAAAATTTAGAAGAAACAACTTACTTTATAGCAGAAGTTCGTTAACTTTGAATATATCCAGTAATCGTCGCAGACACCTTAATTCTTCTGATCATTTAAAGTTTTATTTTTCATATTAATTGGTTAATTTCAATCCAAATTCAGTTGAGGAGGCAGGATAACCGAGTGAATAATGATTCAGATTATTATTGAAAAAAAGGGCTCAGATTCTCCTCCGCTAGGAGAAAAACCTCCCATTAAAAAATCCGGATGGTGTTTGTGACCTACCTGTCAATAAGTAAGCCTCGGAAAAGACTTCCAACCGTACGAGAAGCCAGTAAATTATCTTGAAGCTGAGTTCCAGACACTTACTTTACTTAATTAATATTTTTAATTGATTATGTAAATAAATTTTTTACGAAATCTTGGAAGAAAAGTTGGTATAGGAGCGAATTTTTTCTTCTTTAGAGCTTATCACTTTTAAGATTAATGGATTCAAGAAC